ACTAGAATTGTAGTTTTCGTCTTGTTCTATTGTTTAAATGTTTATTAATTTAATTCTTTGCGTGATAGGCCTTCACTTGTCCTAAGTGTTATCTAGAGTAAGTTAGTATCTGATTCTTTCATTTCTTAAGCAATATATTATTTTATAATTTTTTTAATCATTTATCGCTAGTTTCTCAAAAGTGCATGTAGTGAGTGAAGTGAAGTTTTGAATAAATCTAGAGGTATAAACAGTGAATTGTGTTTATAAATACTGATATGTAGTAGTTGTGCTATGTATTTTTAAATATATAGTAAACCATAATAGGCGAAAGCAAATAAATATATTTCTCTAAAGTATATAGAATGAGTGAAGTATAGTTTTGAATACCTCTAGTGACATCGACAGTGAACTATATTTATAAATATTATGGATATTTAGTAATTTTGTTATGTATTTTAATATATATACAATAAAACATAATAGAAGAATACAAATAAATGTATTTCTGTGAAGAATTATTTTTAGTTTACCCTATTCTTTCATTATAATCAAACTCTGATGCTCATTTCTATATGTATTATTAACTACATATTCATGCATTATGAATGTATATCTAATTCAAACTAAAACTGTTTGCTAATTTTTTTTTTCAAATGTTGAAGGTAAGTTTCTACAATTTTCTATTTATCAAATTATTCATGTTCACAATAAATAATTCATTCTCAGTTTTCAAGATGTTGTTCATTTAAATTTTGATACTGGCCTTTATTTTAAATCTTTTGATAGTCGAAATCTTAGCATTTTGAAAATACTTTCAGAAAATTCTCTTGTGCTGATTGTTAATACTACAGAACAATTTGATTATAATTGATTTACTTGGTTTATATCATGGAACAAATTATCAGCATCCAATCATTGTTTTACTGCAAAATACAACTCTCAATGCAAAATTTTGGATGTTCATCAATGATGAAATTAAATCAGATATACAACAAATAAATAAATGTATATATTATAGACATAAATAAATAACAAAATCATAATCAATACAAGTAAATTAAGGATAAAGGGAGTAGTAAGAATATAAATAATAATAGAGATACATATTATTATACTTTATTTATATCCGCATAGCTTAATTTAGCGTTATTTACTTCTATTATTTTTGTTTTGAATCAAAGAAATGGAAAGTAGAAAAACAAACTGATTGAAGTTCAAATTTTATTTTTTGTTGTAGGAAATTTGGGTTGTGATATATAAACAAAACTTTTACACAAGTTTATTTGTTATATATTTTACAAAATTACATACACCATTTAAGAGAAATAAAAATAACCTATAGATATTTTACACTACATTTTTCTTATTTATAATATATATTTACTAAGTAAAGAATACAAGTAAGTGCATAAGGTAAATTGATATACATGACAACAAAAGAATGAATTATAGATATGGAATACATTGCACTGTTAAGTCAATGTTTAGTTTATAAAACTAATACTTTTCAATTTACAATATAGGTCTGAAACAGATGAAATAATTATAATAAATAATAATAATTAGCTGTAATAGATAATAGGTAGCTGTAATAATAATAATAATAGATAGCTGAGATTATAGACATTGCTGTGCTTCGGAAGTATCAAGTCTAGCAGCTGATTTAAAAAGTTTGTATAAACTTAATAAAGAAACAGTTAGTGGCATCGCGATTTCTAGCAATGACCTGGTACCGGTGTCTACTGTGGAAACTATTGACTGTCTGGGCCTCTTATCTCATGTAATAAATGAAGCTCGGAAAGCTGTGCTGTTGAATACTGCCAGAATTGTAAAAAGCTTTCTCAGCGTCCAGGTGGTTGGAGTTGATTCTCTCCCTCTCAAGTAAACAAAAACCCTTTTGTAAAAGTGCTGACAAATAAATAATAATAATAATACATTTCTTTAAGATATAACAAAATTCATGTTTCTTCTTAATTGCATATTGATCTTCTGTGTTTGTTAAACAAAAAAAAAAAAAAAAAATAGATACTTGCTCGTCAGTTACTACATTCCTGCTTATAATGAAAAGTTTCTTAATCATCCAGCATACACAAACCATCAGAGGGATCTTAAACATTAAGAAAGTTGATTTGTTCAACAATGGTGAATATTATACTTAAACACTTCTAATAACTAGATAATTAATCCTTAAATTATAAAAAAAAACTGTGGATAACTAACTTTATGCTTTTATTTGGAACAGTAAAACATAAAATTGCAATACAAAAATTTATAACTATAACAGTTTATTGAATAAAAATTTTATTTATTCATAATTACTTTATATGTGTTTATTCCCCACTACATAAATATTATATGAAGTGTAAAATTAATGTAAAAAAATTGAAATAATGAAAATACAACAGTAATATTCTTGTTTTGATGTCTTATATCATTGTGTATGCTGGTGTAACATCTAAAGGTTCATTGTAGAGATCACAGTTTTTGCTTTAAGATTGCGATTGTATTAGTTACAAAATAAGACTTATTTCATACAAATAATAACAATTAAATCATAAATAATAGTGGGTGAATTGACAGTCTTCAGCAATAATTATATTTGTTATTTACAAAATAAAGTTTTTAATTAAAACTTTTTTAAACTTAATTTAGTTTTAAATGAAGCTGTTTTTTATTTATTATAGTAGATACTGATGAGGTGAGGAATTATGCTCAACCACCAGATTTTCGTCCTTAATTAATTATTTATTTAAGGATATCCACTATATAGTCAGGTTGTGTTACCTTATGTCTCAGTTTTTACAAATTTCATAAAAATTTGAGTTTTTAACCATACCTCTTAACCAGATTATTACATTTAGGTATTCGTTTGATGCACAATTTAACATTCTTTGATTTCTTAAAGTGTGCATTTTTAGCTTCGATGGACTGTTTAAGTGATATAATTGAAAAAACAATAAAAGAGATTTTTTACTATAAAAAGTTTTGGTTGTCCGTGTAAGCAATTTTGGTTTTTACATGTTTCAATCCATACACACAAGTTACTGGTCTGATATTCTTAAAACCAGCCACCATTTTTTAATGCATCGTGTGTGGAATATGGCTTACAAGGTTAATATTACTTAGAATAACATACACTTTCCTAATTTACATTCAAACCTTTGTCCGAGATGAGGTCTATTTTTGGGCCCAAGTATAATGGCATCAGGGCTGTGGTAAGGAAGTGATTCCATACATGGGCGCTGATAACTAGGTGCTCACAGGCTTAAGTCCCCCTACGTGGGGGCTGGTCCCCCCTACAAATTGCTTAATGAACATATAGATCCTTAATTTAATTTAAAATAAAAAATGGCTTATTTCTTTACTTTTTTTTTCTTCATCACTCCAATTCCTCTGGCGGCTATGCTAATATGACAAAATTTTTTATATTTGTAAAAATCATAAAGTTAAAAATAATAGGTAATATGTTGGTCTGTTTAATGATAAATCGTAAAATATTTGCAGTAAAACATTTTTTGTTTGCTATCCTAAATTGCAGTTCAACGAAGGGTCACCTTAAGTAGAGTGAAAATTCTTCCTTTCATCCGTGTTGCTTAACATATGTCAATAATTAAATATTTTTATTTAATTTTATTATGTTATTAGGCTTACCTTACCTCCTTTCAATATTCTTAAAGATAAATTGGAATTATTTTAATTAATTAGTATGAAGCTCTTGTGTAAACAGCTGCATGGGTTGCCATAAAAGAGGCATACTTAGATGCCATGTTTGAGCGACAATCAAAGAAAAAATATTGGTATTTATTGACCACTGTTGGTTGGCTTATATCAAAAACACTCACAGAAATCCCAATAATAAATGTTAACAACTAAGTTTTTCTTCTTACTGGTTAGTACGCAAAATAGTTGAAAATTTTTAAAGTCAAGATTGAAGTTGTGTCCCTGAGTTTATCCAAATCACTTTTACAATATAAAGTTTTAGTCAGAATCAGGTGAATTTAATGAATATACCAGTGACGCGGCTGGGAGGGAAGCATTGGGATCTCCTGGAGTCCTGTTTTGGCTTCCACAATTGGGGAACAAAGCTTGATTCAGAGTCCCCTGGGCCAATGTAAATATTTCATATAGGTGTGAATGTTTTATTTATTTTATTATCATTCGGCTTTAATCGGTTATTTTACTTATCTTGTATATTACTTAATCTTTTTATTTATATATATATATATAATTTTCTTCTCTTGCTTGGTTATTTTTATTTATTTTCCTTTCTTATGTATATATTGTGTGAATGAATAATATAGAGCTATTACCAATGCCCTTCAGTGTGGTAAACTGTATAATACTAAATAAAAAAATTATTTTACCGAGACCATATGCTATTCTGTAATGGCCAAGTTGTTTCCTTAATCTACAGCTGACATGTGCCAATTCCCAGAAGCCGTAGTGGCAGTGCATTAAGGTATCACGTTAACAGCCTCTGTCAAGCCTGCACTTCATTCCGTCCTAGTCATGTTGTAATTTATTTTATGGTGGAGTCATAGAATGAATCTCGACCTTTCCTCATAATGGCTATAATAGGCTTAATATCGAGTAGACTAACTGCTCCATATTCCAGATATGGTGTGGCAGAAAGAAAGAAAGTGTTTATGAAAAAAATATATATATATTTTTTAAACATTAATTACATTATTCTGATGCCAAGCCACGTCCACAAATTCCTTCAAACAATTCCTATTCCTCCACCTATTACACATTCAAAACTTCCGCAAGCTTGTAAGAATTTTTAGGTTATGTGATTACAATTGCTCACAACAGTTAATTGATAAGAGTTATTTTATTTATTTATTTTTCTCTTTATATTATTTGTATTTTTCCTAGACTTTAGTCCCAGAATAAAATTAATTTTCATTTTCATTTCATTATTCTAGTTTCGTAAAGTTGATGAAGTATTCTAATAATATAATAAACATAATATATTCCAAAAAATATTAGAGTAATATGAGTACTATGACTAGCTTTTATTATCAGATTATTGTTCATGAATGATTGAAATAGGATAAGGATTTTGATAACAGGTAAGAGAAGAATGGCCATTAAATTCTACATATTATTTTATTATATATTTTTTAATGTTTCTATTATTATCATATACAAACATAAAGAAATAAATATTTAAAATACTGCAGTTCACTAAGTTATTGAAAACAGTAAATTTTCCATTAGTCGACGACGCTGACTAGCGGAAAATAATTTAACAATAACCAATAATTAAAGTGAATAATTAAATTATTTTATATAGGACACAAATTATTCTATAAATGAAATTGTCAATGTTAAGGCTACGATATATTTATTATTTAGAATAAGTTCTCAAGAGGGTCAGTCATAATCTATTAATTAGTAACTTTTCCTGACAAATTTAGAATAAATAATCTACTACCAAAATTACAAAAGGATTTTTTTTTTCCTATCTCCTGAAATTGTGATAAATCAACATGCCAATGAATCAAATAATGTTGCAACAAGCCAACCCTCTTTTTGAAAGGAACATAATAATTCAAAAGAAAAGTTTAAAAAAATTAGCTTAACATCTCACACAATATAATAAAACGGTTGCCGGCAACCGTTTTAGGGCAGTATCAATAATACAGGTTTGGCTTTGTCTTAATGACATCACCTATTCCATAACAATTTCCCTAGTTCAAGTCATTTCACAGACTTCACAATACACCAAAGTACCCCAAACGTCAGCAAAACAAGCTGTCAGTAGAGGTACATTATCTATAGGTGAAACATTACATAGTACACATCTCCCTCTCGCGTCGTGAAATAATTAAGGTAAGTTTCTTTAAATAGAGTTTGGTAACATTTATCCCGTATGAAATACAATTCAACTAATTCTCGTCAGAGATAAATAACAAATTATCTAAAAATCATTATTACTAGTAATAAATAGATTATGTGCCACTTTATAAAAAATATTACATTGCAAAGTAGAAAACTCAATAAATACAACTATATTAAATAATAAATTGTCTAAATCAAATTTGAACTAAATCAAATTCTTCCTAAGTCGATTTTAAAAAAATCAACACTCGATTTTCATTTCCTAACTACTCACATAATATCAATCACGGTAATAAATAAATTAATATATATACACAATGTACATCGACCTTTGTACGTCTAAACAATATTTTAACTAATTCACATCTAATATACTCCTCTGGAATGCGTCAACACAAATAGTGAACCTCCTATCGCGAGAGAGAGAATCAAACACATTTAGTACAAGGAGTTTTATATAATAATACAGATTGTACACAATGTGCTTTCGTTTAGGCGCGTATTGTTTATACAAATCAATAACGCACGCTCAAAGACCCTTATTGTTGTGTTTCTTAAGGCTAGTATCACAGTCGAATGGTTGCGGCTCCTGCGGCAGCGCTTGAGGTTATACTTTCTTCCCGCTGCAGAAAGCCTTCACTTCTTCTATCGCTTTACACCAATCCAGGGCGTATCCCTCAGGGTCCTCAAGGTAATATGTCCTATTAGGCTGTAAAAAGAACAAACAAAAAACACTATTAATCTATATGTCACACATTAATAACAATAAATTATCAAATATAATTAAACATTAATACAAACTAATGAATCTTAATTGCATTCTCATTTAAATTTTAACACCACCTTATTCAATTAAAGTTAAAAAACTTTAAACAAAATTTAAAAAATATTTCTTTATGGTGGTATATATAGTCCACCCGGGACACAGTTATCATTTAGCAGCAACTGGCCAAATCTCAAAAAAAGTATGTTTTTTATCAAGCAAACACGAATCTGCATTTAGTATCTTAATAAAAATTACTTGATTAAATTAATGGGTGAACAAGATTTTTATTTTATTATTGAACTTTATTTTATTATTATTGGGATTAATTGAACTGTGGTTTATCAATTAAATAGAATTGACTTAATATGAACTATCAATAAAGGTTTTATTATGTAAGGACACTCACAGTGTGGACAAAAAAGATCTTGAAGTTCTTCGGTTCGGGTGTGATCTCATCGGACCATGGGATTTCCCCTTTCAGTGTCATCGATACGGGGTCGACGTAATACAAGTGTGGGCCTTCGGTCAACAAAAGCATTCGTTTCCTCGCAAAGAGACCCTATCAAAGAAATTACTTTATCAGCAAACTTTTATTATACAAAAAAGTTTAAAAACTTCAAAGCACATTGAAATTGAAATAACGATAATTTAAGGATTAAATAATTGTTTGTGAAATTGCTTGCTTACCTTCCTCTTGTTGACAAGCCCTTGCTTGAGGATGAGCCTTCCTTCAACCAGAGAGTGCCACCTAGACTCGGCTGCCTGGCTCTCCAGCTTTGATGCCCTCAGTTCCTTGTTCGAGAGAATTTCTACAGCTTGACTTCTTCTCGACTTAGGACTTCCGGATTCAGGCTCAAGGCCAAGTAGTCGACTGAGCTGGCTGTCCAATCCTGGCTCAAGGTGGTCGGGTACCTTAACAACAAAATACAGTTAATATTGACTAAATTAACTTGTTAATAAAAAATATGAAATAATTTCCTTTATTTCAATAAAATATCAATTCAATAATAAGAGGTAGTTACCTTGTAATCGAGGCTAACATCCGAAGAAGGTAGGTAAGGCGAGATAGCGGGAGGGGTGGTGAGGTGCAATCGGGCAAAATCCAAACCAGCAAACATCGGGTGTGATTTGATCGATGGATATCCATCCTTGTCATTCGCCCCCAATCTCTCATTGCAGTTTAGTACTAAGAGTTTCTGAACTAAATCCTGAGCTTGCGAGTCAAATTCTTCAGGAAACTCATACTCAAGTTTGAGAATTTTTTGGAAAATAGCATATTCATGCCTGAAAAAAAGAGAGGAAACTAAAATATTGGATGATATAAAATTTCTAAACAGATTATCCTTTGGTAAAAGTAATAAGAGAACAGATAAAAGTGAAGTGAAAGCTCACCTTGCCCTGAACGGAGGAAGACCAGAAATCATTTGATATATGATACATCCGAGCGCCCAAAGGTCCGAGGCATAGTGGGCCACTTTGTCCGTCAGCAGCTCAGGGCTTACGTACTGGGCCGTTCCGACAAAACTGTTCCTCCTCCTCCTCGTCTCGTCCTCGCTATCTTCCGACTGGTCATCATTTTTAACAATCTTCCCTGAACCAAAGTCAGTAATGAGGATATGCATCTTTTCATCGAGGAGTATGTTCTCTGGTTTGAGATCCCTATATTAAAAAAAAAAAAGGTTACGTATTTTCATCTCATACAAAAATATTACATATATATTTTAAGAATGTAATTATCATAAAGTGATTCAAACATGTATTCACCTGTGGATGATGTTCAGCCTTTGAAGGTGCTCCAATGCTTGCAAGATCTCGCCAGCGTAGAATCTTGTGCATTCGATATCAAAAGCACCAACTTTGTTAATATAAGGCAGGAGTTCGCCATTCTTCGCATAGGACAAGACGAAGTAGAGGCTGTCATTGTCTTGGAAGGTACAGTACAACTTGACGAAGAAAGGGACGCCGGCTGAACTGATCATATTCAGGATGTCCCTTTCACGTTTAATGTACTCAGTCTTTTTCTCCCTAATTATGTGCCTTTTGTCGCATACCTTAACTGTAAATAAATAATAATAATAATTAGTTTAAAAATATATATATATATATATATAGTGATTCGATAAGTAATTTTCCAAATATCGAGAACTTACTGGCATACTCCTTGGCGGAATGAACGTCTTTTGTGAGGTAGACAGTTGAAAAACTCCCTTCTCCAATGACCTTGCCAAAGATGAAGTCTTGCGTAGATCTCTTTGCTGGCGGTTGAACAGGTACGATCTTGGGTGTGTCGAGACCTGCTCTAGACATCACAGGCAACGTACCCACTCTCTGCAAAATGAAAAAATAATATATATAAAATATGATTTTATTATTTAAGAAAATAAATAAATAAAAATAAAACGTGAAATTGTTAAAACAAACCGAAATAGTTTTATAAATAAATCAATAAAAATAAAACGTATAATTGTTAAAACAAACCGAAATAGTTTTATAATGCATTGCTTTGACAGAAGAGAACAGAGTCCACTGGAGGTGGGAGGCCCCCTTGGAATGTGGGCGGGCAATTAGGAGTGACTCATTCAACAAGAATCCCGGGCACATGTTCCCTTCCTGGGATGCAGGGGGCGCCACTTCGGCCCTTTAAAGTAGATTTAAACAGGGCTGGTCAAGGCAAAGAGGTCGTCTTGGTCAAGTTTCACTTTTATTAGTCATGACAAAGAGGTTAAGGTCTTTTAAATGATGAAACACTTCTACAATAGTATGCATCTGATGAATATGTCTAACATACAACCAAGATGAGTCACCAATATCTATAATAGAATAGTATCCCTTTTCCGGTTCTCAGGAGTCATCGATTTTAATGAATGAGGTATCAAACGAAAGAGAAACCTGCTATCACAATAAAAGTCATTGAAAAAAGAAATATATTGAGGCCTGGCTTTTATATTCTCAGTAAGTGAGAGAACTAGGAATGAACAAGCAGGTTTCAAGCCAATACTAAACTGGAGAGATATTTTCCAGTATGATATGCTTATCAATTATTGAGTAAATTGTTCCTTTAAGCCATGATAAAGCCTGAAGCTTCTCCAATTGTGTACCTTGCGTTTAATAAATAGAATAATAAAAACAAAAACTATTCAGATCGAGTAAAAAGAGAAGAGGGACCACCCAGTCTGTCGGTGACTAATCGCGGATGGGAGGCAAAGTTCAAGGCCCTACTGGGCGTTCACTGTCTGGTCTTCCCGCCGTTCGGTAACGCTAGATCAAAGTAGTGCAACCTCTTTGTCATTAGAGGCCGCATTTAGGTTAGCCACTGATAAGAAATTTATATATACTTATAAGTATTTTAAACAAATAAATATATACAATCTTTGACTTTAATGATGCGGTAATCTTTAACAGTATTTTACAAGAGTATTTAATGTTTACTGACGTCAAGGAAACATCTATAAATAACTGATAGAGAGGATTATATTATATGACATACGACAAATATTTTCAGATCAATGCTTGCAGTAATGCCTGTGTTTTCTGAAAAACTACAATTAAAAAAATAAATACTTAACTTCTGAATATTTTAGTGCCGAATCGTAAACCGTTGAATTTGTACTCTAAATGATTCATTCAGATTAAGAAGATAATCTTTAAAGTGGATAGTAAACAAAAAAAAAATATATACACATAAACAATAAACCTAGATAAAGATGTAAGAACGTGTGATGGGAGGTCCATGTTATCAGAGCATCAGCGGCAGCGACGAGCGATTGTGTTAGAGTGAGAGAGAGATAGAGAGAGAGAGAAGACTTTACGATCGGCACGTGGCTTTACGATTCCTCTCTTCCTCTCTCTCTCTCTCTCTCTCTCTCTCTCTCTCTCTCTCTCTCTCTCTCTCTCTAGAGCAAAGCTATCTTTATTTAACTATTTAATTGCCATCCGCTTCATTTCCATCTTTATCGACTCCACGAGGCTTATTTTACAGCTCACAATTTACGAGGTTCCGTACTACAATACAACCTCTTTATCCTATTTATGGTCAATGGCTTCGGATGATAACCATAATAAAATATCACGAGAACAAATAGGGATTTGAATAGGTGACTTCAAGGATGGAATGATATGGCATACCCTTCCTAAGATTGGATCTTCAACCAACGGAGGATGAAATGAGGACAATAGGAATCCGGCAGGACATATGAATCGAGAAGTTGGTTACGCAAGCGCAAGAGACTGGCGGCCTCGCAGCAAGGACATTGGCAACCACCATCCTGGCCCTTACGTAACCCAAGGATAAGAACCCCAAGAATCTGTTGCACTTTCCCTCCCTCCAGGCCTCCTGCAATCCCGTCAGCCGCCATATCTTCTATCCCGCAACCAGGGCTCAACGGGTAGGAAACTGAGGGAGAGACTTGTTTGATCCGTATTCATTCGACATGATGGAAAGAACTGAACGTGACGACACTTACATCAGCCGCTAAGAATCTGACACTCATGGGTCTCTTCATTCGGCGACACTCGAAAAACCGCACCACCGCAGTCAGGAAGTGGCGAGAGGACCTCTGCAGCCGGCAGGAGCGGGTACACTGACCGGCCTCGAGGTGGGGGGGGGGGCGACCTCTGTTTTCGGGGGTTAGTGAACCGGAGGACCGGGACCAGCTCCTCGCCACCACCGTCGGCTCTGGCCCGTTAGCCGGCTTCCCGCGGCGGGGCCTGACTGCCTGTGATAAGAGATAAGGAGCAGGTTGCTTACACAGAGCGGGCTAGAGGCAGAACAACTTAATCAAATAATCGTAACAACTAACACAACAGTATTAAAATGTTCGACATGACTAAACTAAAATAACATACATTGTTAACCATAAAGATACTTTGACGATAAATTATTAAAACTAATGTGACAAGATAGAAAAACTCCTGACCCTTGGTAAGAACCTATATAAAGTAGTGGTTGAAGATGCGTGGCAGATGGGCGCTGACGTCACGAGAATCCTTTGCCTTGTGTTGGCCAACCGGAAACGCCTACCTTTGACGCCTTCTGCTCAATGCGGTCGTTTCCGGTCCCACGGCTGACTGGATTGTAGAGGTTCCCTTTCGAAGATGCGTGGGATACGAGTGATCTAATCCATCTATTCTGATATCATCACCCGACAACGATTGTCATTAAATTTGCACGATCGAAATTGCCATTAGGTCAGGCCAAGGTCAAATCGCACATATCATTCACGGGCAGATCGAGGCCACTAGCTCGTGTGGTGTAGTGAGCAACTTCCTGTCACAGGAATTGATAATGGCGGGCACGGAGTGGTCCACCATTTCCGTTATCTCCCATCTTCGATAAGGCTCATTTAAACAACAGTCATGGACAGTATGTGTTCTATGTTGATTAATAGACATAGTTCGTCAACAATGAGAAACATGCAAAATGAAAAGATGCACTTGAATCAATAAACCAAAATAAAACATGCTATGTTAACAGAGAATCGAATATTTTCAACCCCCCCCCCCCGCAAAAAAAACAATAAATAGCTATAGCTTAAATTAAAGAACAAGAATTGAAGATATTTTTTTAAATTTTAATAACAATAAATAACTAATTTGTATTATATATACCTGTTTCAAAGATACATTGATTACAGATAATGAGGAAAAAATGATGAGAAAAAAAATTATAAAACAGAATGAGTCTTCTGTTTGATTTATACTAACAAATGTTTTTGCGATCAATGTTTTAACGGAAATTACACGTTAAGTTCTTCCTCTCCAACCCAATCTAGATAACACATCTTTAGATCAAAGCATTCTCTTAAGTGGACTATAATTGTAATTAAATAAAATTTTCGAGGCTGATCATTACTCCATGCCTAAGGGTCGTAGCCATGTTAATAGCCTTAGGCCCTTGTATGATGTATCTAAGGCAAAGTGAATTTTTAAAATCAGACTAATTGAAAGTGCATGCATTCAATCGAATTCAACTCATTCAGGCTAATAAACATTTTAGTTTTATATTTATTAAACAGAGATTAGGCAAGAGTATAATTGTTACAAGTTTTTAAACACAAACAAATAATAAGGAGGAAATATTATTATTAAGAATAAAAGGAAATATATTAATTGCCATTAGATACCTCAGGTAGTTATTAATAATTAAAGCATCTGGCTGTAATTTATAAATGTTATTTTCCATTAAAACAAATTTACTTGTTATATGTGGATAATAGAATGGATTCAACTCACATGGGTGAAGAGAGAGGCCAACATGGCGGGAACGAGGACCGAGAGAGCTGAGAGATAGGAACCGACTGATTCAGAAGATATAACGAACCGCGGCCAGTGCGTGATAGCTCCATCTGGCGGCGGTTTCGCAACACACGGCGCCTGCGTCCTCAGCCCATATCAACAATGTACCGGGCCCCTTTCACTATCGCCCACAACGGTACTCGCTAATACTACCGAAATAGCATGCACTAGCGGTGTCGGCGGCGGGCTGGGGTATTAATAGCGAGTGCAGCGAGCTGGGAGGACGGCTGCATTTCGTGAAGAATTTCGTCTGCGGCGCCGCGGAGGCAAAACAAGAAAAATTTTGTCAGCCAAGCTATTATTGTAATATGCCGTAAGCGAGTCGTCTGCGATCCAAGCCAAACCAACCCACCTGCCAATGGCAAACGTTCACATTGTCAAGTATTTAAAGGATCCGATAAAATAATGTCGGAGCTGACCTTCTCTTAGGGCCGCTACATCATTTCCTCTCGGGTCGATTACATAAATAGAAAACTGGAAAACAGAGGTACAACAATAGCATGCACCTAGGACAACGAGCTTAACATTAATTTAATTAAATAATGGATTAAACTAACGCCAAAGAGATCACAAAGCACAATAAAAGAGGTATAGTATTGGAAACTGGCAATGTTGAGAGTACAAAGGTCAGTGCTTCGCCAAGGCCACATCCATTGCCGTCACAAGAGGCCACTCTCGAGAAATCATGACTAATCGGCTTCCAAAGCAAACCTCCACGATAATGGCTCAATTAACACGGCGCCACTAAATTACAGAACAACAATAAATAAAAACAAGTCAGTTTCCTATGAAGAAGTGTTGAGCAATCTACCCCCAATCAATATAACTACTCAATAAATACATTAAAATCCTTGCGTTTGGCAAAAGGTTTTTTTTTTTTAATTGAAGGTTCGAAGAAATCATCCTTCATACATATACAGAAGACACCACACCATGTGGGAATATTGCTAATCTTGTAAAGTGTGAGGTGGAGGGCATTCTTCTGTAAACAAAGAGGTTCCAGGTATCTCTTTGTCGTTCAGGAGCGACCGCCTTCTAGGAATCCCGAGGAAGGAGGAGGGGATCGATTCAGAGAAACTACGGCCACCGAAAGGCCCCATCATCGGGGGACGAATGCCTTCGAGGCGGCAACCTCGATGCGCATTCCAACGCATTGTATCCTCAGGTCGCAATCCCTTCGTCCGTCAGCGACCGGCCTTCTCGAACAACTGGCTGGAATAATTTTCGATCAACAACACTTTGAATATTTCTACAATCGATAACCGTAATAAAATCTAAAATAAAATCATCCCTAATAATCAAGATACAAATAATTCGAACTTGTTGACGAAGACAGAACCCCCTATATTGCTATATTCAGAATGATCCACCGCCAATAAAGACATGATTAACGATCTAAGGGCATAAAACGATAAAAGGTAGAGCTAAAATTGGAAACACAAGAGAAAAAAAAAACTAAGTGCGACAATCGCTTACGAAAATATGTAAATATTTATAATAAACAAAAGTGATAACGGAGAACTAACTGTAGCAATTTGCTGGCTACGAGGACAGGCAATAACCTCCACTAAGGTTATTTTTAAAAAAAGGTTATTTATCAGAGGGAGTATCCTCCTTCGTGAAATTAGTAGACCGAAAGGTTTAGTTGGCGCTCTGTCTTCAGCTCCAATCTCGTCTTGATTACATTTTGTAGGTCTATAGCTATTTCAATTTTAATTAATAGCAATTTAATTCATAAGATTTAAATTAAGTTGAACAAATACTATTTACATCGCATAATAGAATCATGAGAACAATATAATTTTTAAGCTGGATATCTCAAAATTAAACAATTTCAATTATTTGTACTCGATTAGTAATTATATAAGAATTACTTTCTTCAATTTATCAATTTCAAGACAAATCTCTTCATCCAATTTTATGATATTAAATTTGGATTCCCCCCTCCCAAAAAGGTTCTCAAATTTTAACCATACGCCCGTCGACGACGGGTACATCAGCTAGTTTATTTATAATTTAAGATCTAGTCTAAACATTGGTTTGTATTGTAGTGTTTTTTTTTTCTCTCGCCTTTAGTAATTAATTACGTAGTGAACGTTGATAGTACAATGGTAACGATTGTTGTAAATGTAAATTTGAAGGATGAGTCTATTTGCAAGTGAATAGATTTAAAACGGCGGGAGACGGCACGTGCAGTTAACTGCATCCACGTGGCAGTGCACTAAAAATAATTCCGCTCTAGGAGCGTGCATTTTATAGCTTTCTAGTGCCAAGGTCCTAGCCAATAGGCGCTTTGAGCATTTACGAGGCAGGATAAAGGCTTTCTGCCTACAGCTCCTTCCAGGATACGCGTCCTTTAAACGGAACATCCTGGAGGATGATATCCTGCCATTGAAGAAATGGTCAGGGGGGGAGGGGCCTTTTTTATCAAAAGGCAGGTGGTTCGAGGGTCCTTACTACCTGAGGGCTATTACTCAAGGCGGCAAAACAAACTACAAGTGCGATAAAGCTGGGTTTTATGTTTCCTAAACGCCGTTTACACAAACTCCTGGTAATCTCCTGTTATAGAGCAATATTGTGCTTTAATTTGTTTAATTTATTTTATAAAGAAAAAAGAGAAAAGAAAATATATCTACAGAAAATATCTGTTGAGTTCCCAAGAAAACGCTTAGAGTTCGCGAGGTTTTCCTTGGATTAATATGAAAAAAATCGACGCTACTATGCTTGCACCCACTATAGGTTAGGTAATACGTAAACACACTTTAATAGAAACAAATTTGTCAGGAAACAGTGTATCCGTCAAGTTCAAAACCCATGCTAACACATTAACCGTACCAGGGCAGCCACCATCGTTTAAATGGGATATTTGGATTAGCTTGGGCATGTTTTAAATATTTGTGACCTTAATATATTTTACTTTAGTTTTAACAATGATTTCTCTGAAACACAAACATGTAATTTTTTTTTTGGCCCATTTTGGAAAACGTGTAATGCTCGCTTTGAGAGATGATATATGTGTAGAGGAGCGCTCTCCTTTCAAGGTAATGTTTACTGTTTTCAATATGACGCAAATCTTTATAATAACCAATAAAATACTAATATATACCCAGCTAAGAGCAATAAAACTTCTGATAGCTAGAGTTAAAAATAATACTATTGACGTCAACAAGCGAAACGACAGTAGATGTTGTTTTTGATGACGATATGAAATGCTAATGAAAAAGTGTTTGCAAGGTAATAAAAATTCAAAATATTCTAAAGAAAACAATAAAGTCTTAAAAAACAAATTAATAGTTTTGTTTATTACATTTGTAACAAAATATTACATTTTAGAGAAGAGAGGCTGTGAATTTTTATATGACTATTGATAAATAAAAAATTTGAATGGAAGGATTACTAAGAATTCTGTCTAGACTACAGCATGATGATACAGAAATGAAATAAAAAAATAATACGTCGGCCTATGCGGGTCTACTCATATAGCAGACAACTCTCATGAATGAAGAGCATTTGTAGTGAGGTTATCAATGGAGCATCCTTATCAGCGTTATCAATAGCCATGTTTTCCCATTCATGGAGGACAACAGCTTCCGGCCGAAACGACCTCTTCCTGTACCTATGATCCGGTCCACAGCCTCCCGGATCTGCCACAGCCATCAATCGTTTTATATGTCATAATACTTTTTGAAGATGCATGTAGGAGCTTTAGTTCAAAACATAGACCAGCTAAAATAGAAATCAGTGCAGGTGTTGATGAGTCATATATGATGTAAGCAATACTAAGGAGGTTAGGAAAGGTAAGACGAAAAGAGAAGAGAAAAGAAGTGTCCAATGCAGCGAGCTACACAACTTTTTCTCCGAATAAATATTTCATCGAGCACAGACACCTATCAAAGCCTCCCTTAGAGATGACAAACCCTTTCTCTTTCCATTATACTTTCTGTCCTCTTTGTTTTCCTCTCAGCTCCATCTTATCTCATGCTAATACTCTCATTACAATTGCACATAAAAAGTGTTGTTCCTATTTATAACAAGTCACATATATCAGGAAGATTATTTAAAAAAAAAAAAAAAACATTAAGGAGAGTTAAGAATACAAACTAAATGTTATTTTTAAAATTAGGTTAGGATATACAACACACCTGCCGCGTCCTCTCCTAGAAATAGATAAGATAATGAACACGGATTGAGGGAGAAGTTAAAGCTACAAAGAGATCTTTAAGATTGTTTGTACACAGCTCTAGGTATCGATAGAGGCAACACAAGATCCGCTTGATAATCTCTATGGTCCACTTCCGCCCATTAACATTCATAATCTCTCCCTCCTCGATCTTTAACATTCCATCACAACTAAAAAGAACACCGCTCCTCTCTTTACTGTACAACAATATTAAAAGTTAATATCACAATTGTTAAATTAAACCAGATAATATTTAAAGAACTAAAAAACCGATTAGAATTCTATTTTTTTTTTCCTTATCACAATTATCTACTGGGGGAATGCAAGAACAGCAAAATATCTGAGAAAAAAAGGCAACACGTGCGATATTTGGAGAGAAGAAAAAACAACTAAAAATAAAAATGGGCCAATTAAAACTGAAAAAGCAACGTAAACACTCTTTTTCCTCGTCGTCAATTCAATTAGGACTAATTCAAAGCAGACTAAAATCTTATATGCAAGTAATTTCAATGAGACCTTAGCTAAGGCCTACTCGATTGCGTAGAGCTTGCTAAATCCAAAGAGCAACACTAGTCTAATTTGTCCTTATTTGGCAAACTTATCTACGAACCCGCCACATCTGTTCCGTGTTTTGGAAATTTATAACAGTAATTCATTTATTAAATTCTGGAAACATTTCTAAGTACTATGGTGTTAAATAACCTAAGCCCTTTTATCAATTTAATAAAAATTAATACTCAAATAATTTTGTTGAAAGAATTTTTCTGTGAATACCTTAAATCTTGCACTAATATACACAAATAAAAATACATTCACTAATAATAAGTAAAGATTTTTTTGGCTAAATAAAATTCGAATTTCCATCAAAATTCTATTCCACAATATGACAAGCCATATATTTTCTCGCAGAATTACACTGTATGTAGGTAGGTAGATTTTTAAGCGTGTACGAAAGGGTATTTATAAGGATTAAATGGTAATTTTGTAATGTAATGTTACAATTGAATATATGTTCTTTATTTTCGGGTAGACTTAGATATGTGAAAACGTATCGGAATTTCATGTAAGGTAAAATTAATGTGATTTTTGAAAACCTGAGATATTTTTTTTATTTACTTTAAGCTGTATTATTTGCAAATAATATTATTTAATATACACAAATAAATATGTATTAATGAAAATAATTAAGGATTATTAATTAATATAATGTCGATGTTGCAAGCCACGTGTCCCATAGACCAGAGCTCAGCACTCCACTGCTCAGCAAAAACCTAGATATCTCGCCCCTTCGTTACAAAATCAGACCACAATGCAACATTCCGAATTAGCTGCTCTAGTATTTTATTTTCGCCTCATCACAAAATTAAAATTAATTATAATTTGCAAAGGTGAGTTATAAAATTATAATGATTTATTTCATTTCAAGTTTGAGATACACGATTACGATATTGTTGAAATAACTCGAATTTTTAACATGTAACTAATAGACTGAAAATCACATTCTGATAATAACAATATCACGTGTACCATTTCTGTGTAAGTACCACCTTTAGACATGAAAAAGTGATCAATTAATATATAAAATGAAGTTAACTTTGTTATAAAATTACACAACATCAAATGATTAAAAAAAAATTGGAATATCTCCTACTCATAAACCTTTATTCGATAACAATATAACAGACTAGAATTTATGATACATATATATATTTTTTTTACTCACAGTATCTTAAAATGAAGATTAAAGAGCGATTAGAAAAACTAGAAAATACAATAGCTCGTTATCTGAAACCTTGGCAAAGAGCCTCAGCACGTGGAATAGCCTCTCTTCCCCTCCCTCCCCCCCAGGCAATCCTCACAATTGAGATAAGAAAAAGGTGACGTTGAGTGATACCTTTCGTCATGGATATTTGCCCGCTCTTCTCTTATCTAAGGTACCCATGTTTTCCCGACAATTAACCTCTTCTTTTCTACCTCTTTGGATAACAATATCAAGATGTAAACATGAAGTCGATGTATTGACCAGGTTCGATCGCTACATGAGATGTGACATGGTTCCAATTACCTAAACTCAAATATGGAGTTATTTTATACATTGATTGGATCATAAATGGTTCAGCAGACTCGATGAATATGGCGGATCGAATTTAATACAAACTATAGACTTGTATTGTTATTCATCAATGTACAGTCAGTTTACTTCTTATCTATATTTATATCTCTTCTGAAATTCAACAAATTAGTAAGTGAATATTTCGTTATACATTTTTCATTTCCCATGTATTTTGCAAGCTTCGGATGGTACATTAAATCGATTACTCATTACAACAGATGTTTAGAATAGACATATTGTAAAATGTCGTTAAGTTACGATTCATAACCTCAAATCACTAAGAACTTTTGACGAATTTCCCCTTTGTGAATTCAGAATTTTTTTTAGATTGTTGTGATTATAATTGATATATATGAAAATCATTGTGTCTAATGCTATAACTAAAATTTTTGATCAATGAATAAGCTCGTAGTTCAGAAAAAGGTCCCTTTGTTTAAATATACTAACGATATAACCTAATTTAACCTGAACACACGTATAAGTCAAAACAATTCGTGTAAACATCATTGTTAATAATCGGTTGCTTTCGGCATTCATCGGGAATCTATGAATAATGTGTTCTTGAAACCGGCCGCCATCTTGGAGCATCGAAAGGGGACTATAATCCATAATTTTATTTTATTTGTATTTATAATTTTGAAGTATATAAAAAGCATAAAAATAGAGTAAGTTAATTCCCAAAAGCGAATAATCAACCTTTGTTTTTTTTAATATATAAATACAAAAATATAATAATAATAAAATAAAATTATGATCTAGATGGAAGCGGACATAGAAGGAGCACCCCATGGGTCACCATGGTGACTCAGAGCATCTGTTCATCAATGGCAGTGCCTCTATATTTACACAGAGCTCCGTCAGTTGTGTATATTTAGAATTACTGACATCTCCCGTTTTAATGAGGTTTTCTCCTAGAATATATCTTTTTAAGGGCATCGCTGAAAAATAATAATAACTTAGCTATCGAAAGATTAATGAAAAAATATGTCATACCTTGACACGGTGGATAACGAGCACGACATTGGGAAGATATCTGTTTTCTACCGGGATCCTTGGCGTAACCTTGTTTACCATTACCATTTATAATCCTCAATATTAGCCGTGTTTTTTCCCCTTGAAGAATCGAACTGAATTAATCGATATTTATGCTTTGTTTTTTTAATGTTTGTGTTTTCGTTACGTCGTCACGGTCTTCCTCATTAATAATAAAAAAAAATAATAACAGTCAGCAAATAATATTTATTTATTAGTATTGTTGTTTTAAATTTTGTAAAAAAAAAACATTTTAACTAATTATGAACGAAGAAGAGAATTAGAAATATTTTTTTAAATAGTTATTGCAAAGCGAACACAATCGATTCTGTACAAGTAAGACCTTCGAATAGATATGACTTCCCGATCACGTGGTCATCAGGGTGGGTGGTCGACTTATTTAAGTGATGATGTAAGTAGGAATCCTATGCTCGTCGGCGAAGAAACATTCGAACCGAACTTGTTTTAGATTATCATAACTTAAAATATCAGTATATATATATATGTGTACAAAGAACAAGTTTCTCAACTCATCGATGTATCGGCTAGATTATAAACTCAGTGTTTTTATTCCACAATTAAATTTACATACTCAAAATCAGTTTACATTCTGTATAACAGCTCTCGCAATGAAATATAGATTCAGTAGACAAGTATTGCAATCTATTTTGTCTTAGTAGATAGTATCAATATAATCAGCTTGTTATCAATTCTCTGTTTTTAGAAACGGTACTCAGAAATATATACTTAATGAATGACGTAAATAAAAAAAAAAATAATAATTTTAATGACAGGATATGACGTAGATAATTAGCAATTGTAATGAGGAAGGTAGCGCAGAGGGTTAAGCATTGTCGCTAACTTCATTTCCATTCGGCGGGCTCCCAGCTCCCAGCTTTTCCCTCCGCCCGTGTCAGGTTTGTTTTTCGAATCATCATATTTATTTATTGAAATCATCAAAGAGATGTGAAGGAGAGGGGAGGGGCGTTGATGAGATGAAAATGAGATGGCTTTGATCTTACGTTGCTTGAGATTGATGCAGTTATTCTTAGGCGGAATGGTTAATGGATGCAGGCCTCAGGTTCCCGATGTAGCCCCTGCTTCGCAGCCTTTTAAATATTCATCATCCATTTTGTTTATCCGCGGCTACAGGCTACGGGCTTCGTAAACATGTTTGGGCTAGCGGATTGAGACAGATCTCACAGGTTCCACAAAACAAAACTGCTCTTACAAATATGTGATTAAACCAATGAAGAAGATACCGTAGGAACTAGCCGGGTGGAACTTTAACCAGTTCCTAGACCCTTCGTCTCGGTAATAAGTCTGTTACGAAAATAATATCTGCTTCTTAAGGTTTGGTAATAATGATTATGATTATTCTCAATAGCAAATATTTATCAATACTTGAGCTTCGTGGTTTCAAACACATGTTAGCTAATAATAAACATTGCAGGAAGGTTACTAAACACAATTTAGGAAACATCTACTCAATATTTATATTTCAAAACATTAATAAATAGAAAATTAACTGAATATAAATAAGCAAACTCAGAAATAAAAACATAGAGGTAATAATAAAGATACAACGATGGTTTCAATAGATGAGCTCAGCGCTCAGTTTAAGAACTTGTCTATAGTTACTATAAAAAGATTGTAATATGTAAATAAAATAAATATCTCTTGCAGAACGAACAACAAACCCTGATAATTTTAATTTAAACGAACTATAGTAATATAGTTATATACTTTAAAAAAATAATCTTTTTATTTTTGAAGCTAGATTTAAAAAAATCTTCATGAACTATTAAAAAGTAAACAATCCATCTGATTTATTAAAATATTTTTTGTTCGTAAACTTATTATAATAGTCTTATTTTAATATTATAGCCTAAATATTTTACAAACTTTAATAGTTGAAAAATATGGTGGCTTAGGAGTTGATGATCACAGGTTTTTACGCCTTAAGACAAAAACAGATAAATAAAAAAAAAATTAAGGTATGTGCTTTAGACCACACGATAAAAATGAAAACATCAACAAGTTTTATAATATGTAATATCAATTATAAATAATATCTCATTACATAGAGGATACAATCGCTTAAAGTGTACAAGTCCGATTTTTAGTGTCTGAAATATTTTAATCCATATCTTCCAAAAACTAGTTTTAGACATTCTTTTTTCGTTTTTCGCCTCTCTTATACAGCGTCGCGTTAAGATACTAACAATATGCAGTTTTTGAGATATTTTACTCCAGCCGACTTTATCCGAGCGTTACAGATCGCAAATCTGACGGCTCAATCTAATTTATTTTCCACAAAAAAATGCATAACGCACTTAAAGAAGTTTTCACTTCAATATACAGGGAAATAAATTATTTTATTCTTAGATCGCTTTAGTAGAAGGAAACGCTTTAAAAGAAAAATAAACATGGCGTTTTGTTTTGTAGCAGATGCGCAGGCCAGACATCTGCGCGCCTCAGACAGCATCTGCCCTATTAAAGGTAACCTGTGTAAGAAAACGCAGGTGGGCCGGGTACCTTCACCTCGCCACGCTACCATACCTCTACGCTACGCTACACTACACTACACTACACTACACTACACGCTACTAACTGTCTTCTACTCTAGTAGTATATTACTATAAAAAAAAAAGAAATGTTAATTTAAGAATAACAAGTTTCTTGGACATCATGGCAAAATAGTATTAAAACAAAAAAAAAAAAAAAAAAACTATTTCACTCACTCAGTTCTTCTTAAGGGTAAAACCGTCATAGAAAATACGATAATTAATACAGATCATCATCGTGGTGAAATAGTAAATAATAAATATATTAAAAACAACATGACTAACGATAACTTGTTTACACATAGTTACACAACAAGCAACGAAGCTCATAAATAAGTAAATATTTGCTCTTGTATCGATAGATCGAAGGGTGAAATATCGACCAGAGGCTCCAAAGAGGTTAATGCCTGGAACTGTGGAAGATAGAGGAACGGAGTGGAGCGAGTAAGAACGGAATGCCTGGAATTTTAACGGGCCCCTTGTTGTGACCAACTGGTTCCAACATTCCTTACCCACGACCTCTCGCTTCTCTTTCATCTCGTCCTTCCAGGAACTTGGGGGTGGGGGAGAGGGAGGAAGGGCGAAGGGATGAGGGGGCGCAGGGCGAAGGGAAGCGCCTTCTGTTCGAAATACCTCAAGTTGACGGGAAAAATATAGTTTCAAGTAATTAAGGACATTTTAACATAAGCATCACAGTCCATTAAAAAAAAAAATTACATAATAAAATTAGATGATTAGATTAAACATTGGAAACAAATCTTTACGCCCTTCGTGTTAAACGTGCTCTCCAATTTTCCTTGACAATTCACAGATTGCACAGTGAGACACTGTATAACCTTCGGTCAGACCAATGATACGGGTATAATCTATATAACCCTTCAGTTGACAGAACGGCTAACTCCAATTTCAAGACTTTTGAAAGTCTTATAAAAGCAATTTTAGTGATATTTCTAGTTGGAAAATTTATATCTGTACAGACAATGATTAAGTTGATTCAAGAGTAGGTGATTGCAGTGGTAAAATATTCTCACTAGAAATATCACTAAAATTAATGATAAAAAATGATGAAGTCAGAATTACTCATTCTGTCAACTGAAAGACTCATATAAAGAAAAACAAAGAAAAAACCTAAATAAACTAAAGCTTCAATAAATTATATCGCTCATCTGCATAACAAACAATGACGTTACTGTAAATAATACAGTTTTATATCAGAGTCAAAACAACTAGAATTAATATTATATAATTAACATAATTTTTAAAAAATGTTAAATTTTATACTTAGTCCTAAAGTGAAAATATAATGTTACATGCTAAAACTTATTTGGACTTGCAAAAATAGCAGTAAAACAAATTTCAAATCTACTATAAGGGGATCTATATAGGTATGTATGTAAGTGTTCTTTTTATTTATTTATTTTTAGGTTATTTTATTCTTATTTATTGTATATATAATTTTTCTGTATAAGTTATTTTATTCATTGTATATGGAGTATGAATGTGATCTCAGAACACTAATATAAATGTTCTTGAGACAGATTGTAATATTTTTCAATAAATAAGTTTTTTAAAAAAAAAACGTTGAGGCATGCTGACGATGAACACATTATGAAAGATATCCACAATAAATTACAAAGAAAATTAAGCAGAAGAGGAGCTGGTTATGGGATCTCCTGGTCCAACAATTAATATTTATATCATCCCTGGGTGACTGAATCATCAAGTTATATTTAAATCTAAATTCATTTATTGTACATTTAATGATTTCATATGTGTAAATAAAAAATTATAAATTGTAATTTAAAAAAATTATATTATATATGAATCAAACGCACGTTTTAGATAACATTTAATAGATTGGAAGAATGATGATAGAGGAGACCTCCGAAACGTTGATTCAATAATGTCGTAGTAATACATAGACATTACTATCGATTTTTTTTTTTTTTTACTACATATATTGTTAGATATCTGAAAAGATAAATGATTTTTAACAAGTAGCATCAATTACAACCTACCTTTAAGCACTTGAAGCTGAAGATATGTTCGGGCTTCATCTCGGAATCGTCTTATCAGAGTATTGCAGTATCAAGAACAAGCAATGGCCCCCCCGCGGTCGAGAAGGCAGCGCTAGACTGCTGTACAACGCCTCCATAATTACCGGAGGATTAATGGAGTTGACGTCAAGGAAACGGTGCGCCTGCGTCAGGAAGCAGTCCGATGACGTCTGTTTGGACAACTGCCTCTCTTCGGCCGTGCGAGTGTTCTCTCCACCTGAGGGACCGGTGGACGTCAACTGGCCGGGTTCGAAACCCGCACGTGACCGCGGCAGGTACAGCACCGACAACTGGGACGAGGCTCGGCGACAATACTCCGGCTGCCCCAACCTTGTGCCGCGACTGTGTTTACGTCACGAATCAACGGCCTGCGACCGCCGACAATGGCCACACGACCAATTATGTATTTCTGTATGGTTAGGTAATGGCGGGCTTCATTCACACGATCGGCAGAGTAGGTCAAAGTCGTTTTATCTCCATTTATATTTATTTCTCAAAGGTAATGCTTTTGTGGGTATGCCGTATCTTAATTAGCTGTACATCACAACCAGTGATTGAGCCTCAACATTTAAGTGAGAAAGCTAAGCACATATGTAATCAAAACAAGTCTGAATATAAATTTTGAAGAAAAGGAAACTATATTTGCGCTTAGTTGAGAATAGAAAAATTGTCAAAATTCCGAAAGAAAAATAAATCAAAACCATTATTAATAAAGTGCATTGTTATTTATAAATATCTTTGGGTTATTTATTTTTTTAACGAACCATTATAATCGACAGTAGCTCAGATGGGGAAAATGATTCCAATGGGTCAACTAGTACTTTTTATCAATATTTTTTTTTTTTTTTGATTTATTAAACATGAATATTTTTTTTTTATATTTTTTTTTCTATATTTTTTTTTTCTTTACTATATTTTTTTTTCTTTACTCTTTTGTTCTTTACTCTTTTGTTCTTTCTTCTTATTATTTTGTTATTACTTTATTTATTTATATTTTTGTATATACGATATGAATGCAATCTCTGAACCCTATTATAAGTGTCCTTAACTGTGACAAATTGTAATATTTCTGAATAAAGTGTTTTTAATAATAAAAAAAAAAAATTAAACATGAAACAAATTTAATCATGATAAATTAGTTGTGGTAATATGGAAGCCTATAGGCAATGAGTTAACAAAATTTGCTTTCATCTGTGCCTAGAGAGCGCTAATATACATGGTAAAAAGTACCTTTTTTTTTTTTTTTTGTTTTTAATTTTATTTCATTTATCAAAACTGAAAAAAAAAAATTCAAACTAATATTTTTGCTCTGTCATAAAAATAAAATTGTTAAAGAATATTTTTTAATCTAAAAACAGTTTTGACAGAATATTTTACAACAGCAACTCCTGAGTATATTAGTCAAATTTTGACTAATATACACAGCTGATGATTATGATAAAACAAAAAATTCTCACATAATAAGTAATTACTAAGTTATTTGAAAACTGGGATTATTTTTATCTTTTTTTTATCACATAATTAAACACTAAACTTTAAACCACAAAGCGTGTTTTATTGCAATATTATCTGGCAGATGTAGGGGTTTTTAATCTTGTTTACCATCTTTACCCGATATTAACCACGTGTTAGCAATATAACAGAGATCTTTATTTCACTCTCGAGATTAGGAGAGATCATGCTTCGGAAGAGATATAATGGAAAATTCGACTTATATAATTTGGTAAATACAAGAAGGAATGATTAAATTGTCAACAGCTGGTCAAAAGGGCACGGGAAGGAGTGAGGCGAGACGACTACACGAGAAATAAGACAGCTATTCCATTCCCACGTCAGTTTATCTTCTAATTCAGTAAGCACTTGCTATCTCTGTGGGAACCTATACCGGATAGAATGTAATATATATATATATATATATATATATATATATATATATATATATATATATATATATATATGTAGGTGTTAAAGCAAGGTAATATTGCGTTCAATTTGGAACGAGGCGTAGATAAAAGGCAGAAATGTTTCGAAACTGACAGGGTCAAAAACCTCGAGAAGATTTAATTGGTTAAGACAAGGTTAACAATGTTTAGTTTTGAGCTGATAACAATTACATTATCAAACAGCTGATAACAGGACCGTCGGAAAGAGGTTTCTCTTTTTCTTTTTTTTATCAATAAAACACAATTTCAAGCGCCAACAATTCAACATTGCGCAACAATCTACACTTAAAATACATTATTTAATGGTATAACTTACGCATTAGATATCTATAAATCGCCTCTCGAATACATAACAAGTACATAAATAAAATACATGAAAAAAAAAAAAAACTATGGCGTGTGCTTTAGACGATATAAGCCAAAATATCAACAAGGCGAGATTAATAATATGAAATATAAATTATAAATAATAGCTCATTACAAAGAAGATGAAATGCTAAACATTTTAATCCGTATGTTCCTTTTCGAGTCCCTAACACGGACTCGTGTTAAGATACAATGTTAATTTATAGCCTATTACAGAGAGAATGAAATGCTGAACAATTTCCTGACTTACAATATGCAGGCCAGATTTATAGTTTCCGAGATATTTTAATTCATATGTAAAAATATTTTAATTAATCGACTCTACGCGAGCGTTAATTCCGAACGAAATCTGATGGATCAACCTAATTCACTCTTCACCAAAAAGTGCAAAACTCGACTAAAGAAGTTTGCATCTCAAAAATATGTACTTGAAGAACCTTCTGAGAGTCTTGGGTTCAGTATTTCGTAAGAAAGTATTGTTCTTGGTCGAACTATTAAGCAAGATGACTTAACCGAAATTATGTATCCTCTCAATACAGTATGAGTGTATCCTTCAATAATAAATTAATGAGGAATGAATAATTATCTATCACAGTCCAATCGAAGTCCTAAAGTGGAGTGCCTAACTATGATATTTACTTTATAATAGACCCGTTAAAGTAACTATTTTTCTGCGACGTAAATTTTTTAACACGCGTTACATACGCAATCTATTTATTCGCTTCCCGTCGTCCATGAGAATAAAAAAAAATAAAAGAAAAAAGAAATAGAGACAATTAAAGCATGTGAAACCCAAACCTGAAATGTTATACCTCGGCGGTGCTGTTGCAAGTGCGTATATAAAAACGGCTACGCAATATAGGCCTCTGCTCTGTGAAGGTGATTAGATAACTCAAATGGGATAAGCTTGTTACCGATATTAATCGATAGTCCTCTATCATTGTTACTCCTATCGAGATTATCACAATCGATACGCCATATTTGAGATCATGAATGAAACGGCCAGATAACGATTTCATCAACTAATAAAATCCTATCAATCATTTTTAGAAGTGTAAATTAATAAAGAACAAAAGTAAACAAGATTTGGCAATTGGCTAAAGTGCAACGATGCAACAAGCTTCGATAAGGCTCGAGGAAACAACAACATATCAGTTTTTTAATAATTGAACGTTAAATACAGAAGATAACCAAACCGCAAAATATGCAAATATAAATTAATGGATACTATTTTTAATAAAATTGTTTTTATGTTTATGCATCTCTTGGGTCAGGTATTTTCAATAAACAATTTTGATGTTGATAAAATTTATAATCAAATCGATGCTAAAAAGAAAATATGATTAGATTTGATCTTGATAAAAATATGTGGAGTAAGCATTCGTTAGTTACATTTTTGTATATGGCGTCCAATTATTGTAATGATTTTAATTCAGGTTCTAGTATAGACCCGATTTTGATAATTTTGGAAGGATTTAAGTAATGTTTTTAAAAATCATTATTTCGCAATCTATATTTTTAAAGGACTGATATGTTTTTTTTTGTTTTGTTTTTTACTGACGAAGAGCAGAAATCAAAGTGATTTTGCCCTCCCCACCACCTCCTGCCCCTCGATCCAGGATCCGATGTGACCGCCATTAAGATGCAGCCTTGCAGGAGAGTGCGACCACTAGACAACCGGCCTGCAGCGAAGGCTGTTGAAGGTCGTTCACTAACGATAACAAAGTGAGCGAGATCCGGCTCAACTCCACAGCTGATGCCTGTCCTTCGGCCCCGCCCTTTGCCTCACTATTTATACGGCACTGCATCCGCTTAGTCTTGCCTTCCTTCGTACTGGCAGATAACCCCGTTTCCGTTCTGGCTTAACCGATCATTATTCAATGAAGCATAATGAATTCGGCTAAATATAACTGCAAGGGAATAGCACAGCTGGTCGTTTTATAATACCATTCAAGTAGAATTATCATTATCGTTATAACAAAAAAAGGGGAAGAAAACGAAAAAAGGCAAAATATTCAACATAATACGGATTGGATCGACAACCAATCCAAAGAGCTAAGAGGAGGCACAAGACGGAAGATAAACAAGATGGGAGCTGGAGGCAGCTGGTGACGTCAGAGCTGGCGCAACCCAGGTCCTTGTGTAAGTGGGTAAAGGACTCCGCTCCTAACCGGGTTACCTGCACAACCTCTCTGTCGTCATGGCGGCCTCTCTGTCGCAAGGGCTGGTGCAACCCGCCAACTGACCTGCCTTCTTGCTTATTTACCCTTTCTATTATTAGTTAAGGCCTCGGTATCTCCAGCAAGTCCAGGAAAATAAATATTACCTCAGCAGAGGAAAATGAATAAATATTACCTAATAAAGGATGATTTGAAAGATTTTTCGATAGAGGCTATGCTGATCAAGTTCGCTAAAATATTATCACATAAGGCCGAACAGTGATAAATGCATAATTAATACCGTGGCTTGCTGTAAGCCAATTTTTAAGACATACGAAAATATTCATAGTTGATAATAAATACAATATTGTATAGTTTTAGTTCAACAATAGACCGTGATATAATGCAACCGTTGAGTGTTTCGAAATACGGCGCTCAAAGAAGGAAAGCGCCTGAATATAACGCCAGGGAGGAGAGGTCAGTCGGTCAAGGGTTCGACAAATAAGTTTCGTCATCGGAGCCAGTCTTGCCAACTGCATCCTAATGCAATGAGACCTATTAGTTAACCATTGCCTGAGGTCGGGGGGCCCCCTCCACTCTATTCAACAAGGCTGATATAGAAGGCCTCAAAACACAAACATCCTACACATACACACACCCTACAGCTCTCTTCCGTAATCAGTCCGTGTTTACATCCGTGTCACACACTTCCCTAGATCTCAGCGAGGCCGAGGATCCAGAAGGCCTTGGTCGGATATGGCTCACCTGGCAAGGGCGTCACATAAATAAATGACTAAATGAGATACCTCAATAAGGTAGAGAGATATACCGCGCTACGTCACAAAAGATGAAGGGATAAGATTAGATTCTTCTGTTCTACCCACTTAAATAACTATTTTTTTTTTGTTTCATATTTCGTTACATCTCGAAGGAAATTTGTTTACATAGTATGCTAATAACAAGATGACACAACTCAAGGTTAATCTGTAAGTCAAAGCAGCAACGATGGATCAAAATAACCTGGTAGATGCCCAAATAACTCGACCTTTACAACATTACAAATATAAGATACATCTGTTATTTTTATTCTGCCATCCAAACAATGATCAAAGTCCACAAATAGATTGGATCAAACATATGTAATTGTAGCGATTTACTTAAAACAATTCTTACGTTTTTTTAACATATCAAATCCAAAGAAGCAAAAATCATGAGTGTGAGGGGAAGCAGAGCTACGGTATGAGGAAAGGATCTAACTAGATTTTCCTACTGAAAAATAATATAAAAATAAACAAGATTCAAGATTAGGCTACTGTTTGTGACTGATCGTTCACTGAATACTCAATATCATACTGTACGGTTTTCAAATTAAATCTAAGTATGTTTGACTTAAAGATAGTATCACTAATACAAATATATTTCTTTTTTGTGTTGTCAAATTCAATGGTCTCTCTGGGGAACTCAATGATTTTTCTTTATCCGCCATCTTTAATTTTTGAAGTGATACCTTCTTTAGGCGCGTTTTGCACTTTTTTTTTTTTTGTGGATAGTGAATTAGAATTGAGCCGTCCGATGTGTAACGCTCGGGTAAAGTCGGCTGGAGTCGACTAATTGTGTTTTTTCATATGGATATCTCAAAAATTAAAATTCGGACCAACATACTGTAAACGAGGATCCTTTTGGTTCATTTATAAAATTTGAAAGTTTCAATGATAAGATTAAGGCATAGTAATTACGACACAAAAAAAAAACTATTTATCTCCGTTTTCTTTACGTTGTTTGACACAGAAATTTCCCATTGAAGTTAATTAATAACAGAATATTTGTTTTCTGACGTACCCTTTCAATTTTAAAACTATAAACGAGGACAGATAGCTCACCCTGGGGTAGAAAGGAGGAAGGTTGGAAGAGAGAGCTGGGGCCAGCGAGTCTGGAGCGAGCAACCTCGCAACCTCAGCCGCATGCGACCACCATTCTGGGGTCCTTGAGAGGTCATCTCCATGACAACCGAGCATTGTAAACATCAGCATTTGGTAACAGTTCCGTTCATTTCGAACCTTCTCGGCTCATCATCAAGTTCAATACCTTAACCGAACAAAGAAGAAGGTAGGGCGAACGCACAAGTTGATTAAACAGACTGGATTTTAAATGTAACTAATAAGAATCCTCGATGATTAAAAGATTCCATTTTTTTCTATATTGAACAACAATAGCCTAAATTGACAACTGTCCAAAAAGAAAATTTTAAAATCATATTTCGTCAGGTGTTGAGATTTTACTTGGAGTGTTGTTTGCCATTCTTATTAAAAAAGATGAAGAATTAATTAACATTTCCAATAATCATGAATCAACTCCATGTATTCGGTATATATTGAGAAATATTATTTAATTGCTTCAATTAATTTTAATATATATATATATATATAAACCCAACTCAACATTATTCTTTTATAAAACTAATACAACGAAGAGCACACTGATAATAACACAGCAGAAAAATGAACATATAGATAGCATGTTTTGAAAGATAGTATGCTTTCTGAACACAAAGAGCGCTGCTTTAATTGGGTCAAACAAAATGTAACACAATACATGATTAAATTTTTCCGACGTAAAGTAAACTAAGCGTGTAAAAAGCGCTAACGACTAACAATACCTAAATATACAAAAATACCAACAGCTAACAAAAATGTCTCGAATATAATAAAAAATATATAACAATATATATTTATATGTCTTCGATATATATGAAAAGAACAATATAAGAAAGTATGTGGAAGAGGGGGGCTATGTTTACAGAGCAAGGCAGACACAACACAAGGGAGAAAGTTGATTTCTCTTCCTGGCGGGAAGGTAACGGTCTCCCCCCTCCCCCCACTGTTTTGGCGGGACGGCCACTTTCTAGTCGCTTCTGCGCAGTTATCTTGGAGGGAGGGGGGTTTGTTATGTTCCCCGTGACGCTTCAGCGATGGTAATATCACCTGTAGTGACCCAGTTACCATTATAGGGGTTTCGTCAAGTGTTAACTAAATCACAACGAAGTCCATAAAAACAGATAACATCTGTTGTACAATCTAGAGACAATAATTATTTAAAAATAAATAAAACTGAGATCGGTTCGTTTAAAAATAATATACTAAACGTTAAGTTTACTCACGACAGTTGTAGTACGATGTAAAGTAGCCATTACTCACCTGTAACAAAAAAAAAAAAAATTAACTAAAGTTTCGTTAAAAAGTTTTTACTAATTATTACAAATGACATATGTTTTTATTTGTGTAAATGTCAGTTTTTATTTTTTGAATAAATTATAAAAACTATTGCTGCAAACTAAAGAAATGTTCTTAAAAAAATGAGTTTAATCAAGATTTTTTTTTTAAAAATACGATGATAAACATATTATATAACAATATTAGGAACAATTAAAGAAAATTTATTTTGTTAAATGTCAATGAAACGTCGAGTATCTGACCAAATTAAAAAGAAAAAAATTAATTACACTAGAAATACAAAGAAACTTTTACAATCTAAAAAGGATTTGTTAGTTTGTTATTTGTTATTAAATTAAAAATATATCACGATTGGAACAACTAATGAAAATCAAACAATTTTATAAAAGAGACAAAATAATTAGAATTATCATGATAACTTTTACTCACAAATATTATAATTTTTAAAATTCATTATACCACAGTAAAATTATTCTATTCATTCAAATTTTGGTTATATTACATTACGCAGTCGCGCTATGATAAAAACGACTTTCTGACAATTTAATGTCAATGAAAAAACATTTTTTTTTTTTTTTCAAAATTTTACCTTTGAGTCGATGTTACAACAGATATGAAACGATATGAAGAATAATTTATTTCTGTAACGGGAAGTCGGGAATGATATCAACAAATATGGCTATCCTATGCAGAATATTCATCGATAACTTTAAAAGGTCAACACCAATCCATGTGTAATAGAAATGATAACTATATCACACTTTAAAAATATACATCTTTGTTATTTTGATAAAACTATTATATCAATATATATAACGCAGATTCCTAAATGGTACAAACATGTCCCGAGGTTGAACAAAATTAGTTCGACATTGAGAATATCTGGCAACACACTAGTTACACGTGAAAATATACGATTCACTATTTGTTTAGTATCCTCCCATTGTCGGGCGGATGTTACACGATATCGAGCAAAAGAGCGAGAGAATGGCGTAATATTCGGAAGAGGTTGCGTAGGCGGAGTCTGCCCTGCGTCCTCAGCCCAAAGCAGAAAATCGATTGGATCGGGTGCGTGTGTTCCCCGCGGCTCCAACCTCGTCCGAAACGTACAGCATTTTGGATAGTAATCACGAATTTACAAAAAGTAAATATAAGTAAATAAAACATTTGCGATATTCCAAATAGTCATGAAATATATATAACAGCTTTATGATTAATATAAAAAAAACACATCAAAAGAACGAGCAAGATCTGATAAATACACTTTGATTCTGGGTGATAGATAGACAGGAATAAAAATCTTAAAAACAGAATTTTAAGAATTTCATTGCTAAAGTATCAATCCAAGCTTGTGAGTCAACATCACAACATGTTAGCACAATCAAGGTGTTCAGGTACTGGTACAGGTTCAACCACAACTTTGGAATGAAACGTTTGCAATAACAATTTAAAAAAAACTTGAATACATATCACCCATGTTATGTAAAATATCCTTCAATATACCCTTATTCATTCAGATCTATAAACATCAACAGATTTATTTTTGATTAGCTTCAGAATATTAATTTCACTACAAAACTAAATACCGCAATATATGCATTAATAATACATATTATTGTTAGATAAGATAATATATATTTTTTTAAATAGTCATTTTATACGAGCGTTTTCATTATTATAAATAATTTTTAATTCATTCTTATGATTTTTTAATTAATATTCACCATCATTCAAAATATGGTTCTAATTAAAAGATTTCCCAGAAGTTGTTTATGTAAATAATATAGTCATTATAATACTTGAATAAGGATAGGCCCAATAATAAAAAAAAATTAAAATATTTTAGAAGCTTCTCATTATATTTAGTTGTCTATTGAGGCACTAGAGCGTGAAATCACAGCAAGTGAAAATAATACAATAATATAATAATAGTAAAAATAATATATTATTTAACAATTAATATTTTTATTTTATTTATTTATTTTTAAAAATCAGTATATCGGTTATAAGCCCGCGTTACTACGCATTGCGCATCAGTCTTGCGGGTTTGCCATTACCGCCGTAACTGTAATAAAACTATTACCTTTATTACAATATTATTATAATATTAAAATACTATAAATAAATATAATATAACATCTTTATAAAAGGTAGATGCAATTTAAAATTGTTTATTTAATTTTTTAATAAATCATTACAACATTTATGAGAAGGGCTTGAAATGGAAAATTCAACTTATAGCTTTAATTGTTTTTTTTATTATTATTTTGAGAATTAGAACGTTTTTCTGTGATTTTTATTTAATTAAGATAGAATTTTTTTTTTTTTTTAAATTTTATATACTTAAAAGTACCGTTAAAAAATTAATTTCGCTAAAAAGTAAATTTAAAAAAATTAGACTATTCAATAAAGATACTTATATCTCTCTTCTATGCTCAATGACTACTCATTTCTCATCAAATGCAACTTTTCTTAATGTAAATAAATAAACGTTAAATTGAAAAAAAAAACCTGAATTTTATCAGTAATTCATAAAAGATATTATTTAGAACTTATATTTTTAAATATATTTTAGCTATATGTTTCAAACATTTCTATTTCAGTTTCAACCTCTGCTTATGAGCTTACTTACATATACTTCTATTAACAAATGATCATTTTTTTTTTTTTTTTATACACAATTATTACTAATATATTTTTGGACAAATTACTACAGGATAAACTAAAAAAAAAATGTATTATAATATAAGAATAAATAATATAACACTACACAAGACCTGAAGATGACAGACTGGAAATCGATGACCGTCGCCCCCGAAATAGCAACAGCCCCAACAGAGAGGAAAGCGAAAGGGGTGACCTGTATATCCCCGCCCACACACCTGCGTGTGGCTGCCCCCTTCAATCCCGACCGTCAGTCGCGAATGAAGGATTCAAGAATGACTTCAATCACGATAGTCTCTAGATTAATCAGTGAGGCAGTATGGATATATAGTATTTTGTTTTAACAATATTTTTAACAATGATAAAACTCAATAAAGGCCGGATGTGCCTTAGGAGGGTCTCCCGATCTCCTAGAGTCGATTTACTGTTGACATAAACATGATCAATAAGCAATAATCTTCGTTGAAATTCCAGGAAAAGCAAAAAAAAGTACATTTTCTTATATTCATATATTGTAATATAAACTATATTTTAACAAAAACAGTATTTTTTAAGATATAATCAAATACAATATTTATCTGCAGAAGTTATTTCCGAAAATCAATAACTATTTAAAAGAATTTTTAAAAAATAATGAAGCTAAAATAGGGCCAGGAATGAATTAAACTTCAACAAGGGCGCTTTAGAAAAAAAAAAAAAAGATTATTAGAGTTTGGTAGGGAGAATAAATGGTGTATATTTAGTTAGAGCAATAAACTAAATTTATGAAGGTAAGGATGGTAAGGGTAATCAGTCAGAAATAAAAAGGCAAAAATAAATAATAAGATTTATTATTTATTTTGGCTTTTTTATTTCTGACTGATTGCCCCAACCAGATTCTCTTCATTATTCAAGACATTCAACCATCAACCCACAATTATAAACTAAATTTATTTTCAATTTCCACTCGATTATCTTTCCTTAAAAAGGAAAAATGTATTGGAAATAAAGCTATTTACACACTAGTTTTAAGTTTTGTCCAGGATGTCAGTACTATCGGATTCATAGTATGTTTTTACGTAGGAATAGATACTTGTTATAAAGCTCAGGACTTCACTGCAATTAAAATAAACAACGAAATACCCTAAATAGTTCTTTTATAGTTATTCATAGCCATATAAGAAAAATAAAATAAAATGAAAAAGTCTATTATTCCAAACGAATTTTTTCTTCTTCTTTTTTTACTAGATTTTGTAGTGTTATTTACAATTTATTTAAAAAAAATAAAATAACTTGATACTTCAAATTGAATATAATAAAAGGAACAATCCTTGTCAAAAATATTAACATATGTTATTTTTCAAAAAAATTATATACTGAAGAAAAAAACACAGAGAGGAAGGATGTAATCAGGATGACGTATAGAAATCACGCTGGGAATCCCCGGCGATCGCGAAGGACGTCACTGGAAGTGAACCGATAAGGAAAACAATACAGCAAAGAGAATCATCCCCTCCACCGAGGTAGGAGAGGAAAAATATAAGTTGGCACCTGACAAAGACTGATCTATGACCTCAGAGGCAGCTCTCTGCCAAAGAGGTTTCGCGATGCTCACCTTGGCTAGGCCCAAATAGATTTCGAAGGCCCATTCATAGATCTCGAGACCTCCAAGCCCCTCTAGTATACTGGAACTGGAGTTTTAAATAACAGAGTGCAAAAGATATTTCAGGTTAAAGCGAAAGTGTTGTTCTAATAAAACAATAATATACTTCTTTGTTGAATAAAGCTATTTTCATTATAATGATCTTTTTATTTTTTTTACACTTCCATTTATTTAATTGCACTATCAACAATTAATTTAAAAAAACAACTGAGTATATGAAGTTGTTCTGGTGGAAGCATTTCAGCCTTCAAGCACCCCTTTTTATATGTTAGTCGTTTTCATAATGATCAACACTAAAAATGCCATACAAAACTAATAATGAAATTTTTTTTTTTTTGTTTTAACAAAACGAACAGTTTCAATGAAAAAGGTTCTGTTCTTTTTGCTTTTTAATAAAATTTTGAATTTTGTAAAAAAAGTTTATCTTAAACTAAAATTCAAATAAATAGCCAGCTAATAATATTAAAAATCTACTGGACAGTTACATTTATTAAATGTACTTTTTTTTTTTAAATAAACGTTCTGTAATACCTTTTCTCTTGGCAAACCGCTCAAAAATAAAATTTAATATTTTATTTTAAAACCTAGTCTTACAACAATAAATAAATTTAGCTGAAAAAATATATATTATTCTTCTGTAATTATTACACAATTAAAACTTTAAATATAAGCAAAATTTATTTTTTTAAAAATTCTTCGAATTTGGCCGCGTTTTTAAGGGTAAAATAAGTCTATTCGCTCAGGACTCGGCGCTATTTCTTACTGAACACGCTTGTTTTCGCTCGATAAATTATCCGTGTAAGAAGAGACAGGACAGAACAGAAGCTGCGTATTCTCCTCCCCAGCTCGGAGGCCTACGCCGCGAAAGCGGCCGATGTTGCCACGGTTGAGGGCCTCAGGCGTCCTTTGACAGGTCGAGCGAGATCTGTGTCAAGTTCGCGCCACCGTAAACAGTGAGCCACAACATATCCTCCCATCATCGCTAAGGACAATAATTAACATCTGAAAACTGAACTGTCAACAACTACAGAACTATTTTATTATTATTAGATATACATTAAAAGATAAACTTATCAACACTGACTCCAACAGACGACGTCAGACACCAGTTCGCTCGGCCGCGGCGGAGGGCGGAGTGACGCGCTAGGGACTGTAGGGTGGGCTGCAGTACGGTCCCTTCCATCGATCCGCGACGTCATCCGTGACGGTGGTGGTGACGTCATGCCCGGTTCGCTACGTCATCGGCCCTTCGGCACGTGCAAGGGCCCGTCGATAGCCGCCCACGCGGCTTGCCCCGAATAGCGCAATAAACCTACTTCCAGGAAATAAAGTCTCGGGGACTTTACGAGCCCTTTGGAAATTTATATCGAAAGAAGGATTATATCCTCGAGGACACGAATAAAATAGCGATGGGACACGTGGTCCCAGGTGCTCGCCCTAGAGGGGGGGAGGCAGGTGCGGCTCCACGTGTCCTTAAGGTTGCCGCCCCGCCTTCGAGGGCCTCAATAGATCATCCGCTCCTCGCCAACTGTCTCGTTCCTTTGTCCTGGGAGTTCTCAAGCAAGCGTACCGGGGCAGTTGAGGGAACTGGATCCGTTAACAATGGGGGGTCGCGTTGTAGGGGAGCTAGTGTATCCGAGAAGGAAAAAAAAAAAAAAACAATTGAATATCCATGTATTTCAGTGAAGAGATATATTTCCCAACGTAACGGCCCTAGCCGGTCCGTATAACTTTAAAAGCGAAGGTAGTAGACGCGAAAAAAAAGATGTCTGGAGGTCACCACATGGCCTTCCTTCCGAATGACGATGTAACGGATACTTTTATTACAACTATTACTCGGGAACTGATATAAATAACCTGATACACTAGTGAGCAACGTAGCGTACACACCGATGACGTAGAGTCGCCGCTACGATAGAAGGAACGAGAATAGCGAGCGACCGAAAGGATTCGAACTCCGTGCCAAACTGGACCAGACATCACCTGTACTCTTCTATTTATATTCAGGAATCACAAAACTAGCACCGTCCCTCGTAAATAAACACCATCAGATGAGTGTCCATTTCTTTCAACACAACACAGATTACCGTAATCTTATGCCATGTTTTAGTGCTTGACTAAGCTCGAAGGCATTGTTACAAGCCCCAGACGTCGTAAACCGCTACCTGGCGGTCGTAAACCAAACAGGGGCGATAAAGAGCCGACGGCTAGACGCCTAAAAACTAGGTCCTTGGCCGCCTTAATGGCGAAGGATAAGTCCCGATCTGTCACAACTTCTTTACTTAATGTTTACAACAAGGATTGGTAAAGAACGCACAAACGAGGAAATGCCAAGAGGAAAACCCAACGAGATATCTTCCAGCGCGTCTTTTCCTTGTTTACAATCGAGCAAATCACATCCACCAGGAAACAGCGAGGAGCAGGCACACTTACACTGCATATTTAGAGATTATTTAAATAAATCCTAACGCACACGTCACAATTTATTATAATACACATAATTTACCAGCAGAATAAGATTAAAAATTAAATAATATTGTATCTCTCTTATCCAGATTTCAATAATAATATCAAAAACAACACAGACTGATTATGTTATTTTTTTTTCACTAATACCATCCTGATAAGATGAAATGTTTCAAACAACCAGCTATGATGTGAGATGTGCTAAGACACGTTGAACCTGTCGCAAAGCATCGCGCACTAGACGACACGTGCGGCCTATCTAGCCACCTCAGCATCCACAGCATGCCGCAGACACTACGTTCGGTCTGCCGCTTTATCTCTGAGTCAGCTATACAGGTATCAGTAGTCACTGTCTAGAGACGCAATTATTTTTTATATCGTAACGCCAACGAGCGAGCTTTTATAAATATATGTAATTCAAAATTTCAAGAATAACCTATTTAATCCTGAAATCATTACAATTACAATTCACATTAAAAAAAAAAAAAAAAAACTGAGATAATGAAAATAATTCAACGTCGTCATATGTAAAAATAAATATTATCATTTATTTTTGCCTTCTTTTTTGACTGATCACCCCAACTATTCTTCTCTTCATTATCCACGACAGTCAACCATTTACCAATTATGAAAATAATTCAAGCTCAAAGGAAATGAATGACTAAATCGTACATAAAGTTTTATCAAAAATTAATATCGCTACTGTTGTAGTGCATGATGTCGTATATAAAAACAGTTTATTTTTGTTTTGTTTTAATAGAGCATAAAATTGATTATTTATTTATAATTTATTAATATAATTAAAAATTTTACTTCCCTCTGAGTAGCAGGTTACTAATTGCATTTGCAGACTACAAAATGTCATCTTTAGCACCAATATAATAAACGAATGATGAAGAGAATAATAGTTGGGGTGATCAGTTAAATAAGAAGGCAAAAATAAATATTATCATTTATTTTTGCCTTCTTAATTGACTGATCACCCCAACTATTCTTCTCTTCATTATTCACGATAGTCAACCATTTACCCACAATATAATAAACGTAAAAAATAATTACATTCGACCTTATGTACTAACAGTATCAATATCTCTAAATTAAACAACTAAATAAATAGTTACCCAAAACTAAAAAAAATTATAATAAATGATATAAGTATTATGCAAACGCTTTTTAAATTATGTTTCACTTAACAATTTGTCAAATAATTATTAGTACATTTTCTTTTTCACAAATTAGTTAAAATAATTTAAAAAATATAATATGCATACTAATTCTCAATTTAGTGTTTAATAATTATTCCCTGAATTTTAAATTTTTTTTGTTTTTTTTTACTTTAAGGCATAAATATGAGACTAAAGCAAAAACTCATTAATAATTAGAGATTCGTAGATTTATTTGTGTCAACGTTTAGGCACATTTTACAGATCTTAATCAGGGGATATCAGGAGATATTATACAACGAGAGACTACTGATAATATTATGTACACATATAATTTTCCTTTTTTTTTAGATTGATTTCGGATAAGTCGAAGTCGTATCTAAACATTGGTTAGAATAGTTTTATTTTGAATATATTCGTTTAAGGCTAAGGATAAGTATATATTATTAACATTGAAGTCTTACGATGCTAGATTTCATTATTTGAGGAATTATTCCTTCTAAAACCTATGATTAGTTACGTTTAATATTGGATTTTTTAAAATTTATTTTATTGTTAACTTCTCAGATCGGAAGGTGCTATAGGAGAAACACTTGCGTAATCGATGAGAATTCCACGTAATTAAGAGATGTTATGTAAATAGCTTACACAACAAGACAATACCTAGAGAGAGAGATCGCAATGCAGCCCGGACCGGACTGAATGCACCGACACACCACACTCCAACCGCCTGCTTTATCCAGGTCGCTCGATGCCGATGACCCACATTCGCTCTCGGCTAGTCTACGTTGTACGCTGAACCTCCCGAATAATACGGATCAACAGGCGGCTATTTCTGTCTTGTGTATATATATATATATATATATATATATATAGTCATTATATATAATGTATTTATATTTAACATTTAACAGGGAGAGAATGTGTAAAATCACAGGCGTTGGGATATCCAGTAAGTCCTCTCCCTTTAAGAAATTTTATTTATCGAGAAATATTACATAAACAAACAAAATTTGTTTAAAATTATCTAAGAAGTATACAAAATAATTTCAAGCACAAACAATTTAACAATTTGACAGTCAAAATAAAGGTGGAGTGTGGAGTAAATTATTTCTTATTAATTACAAAATTGTTTTAACTGAGTGGATTTTTTAAAAATCTATTACGCTAAATTAATTTTCTTGATCTCTCAAGTGACTATTAAAACTCCATACATTGTGTTTTGAACTGTTACCGCCCCCAACTATTTGATTTTATTTTTCATTCTTCTCAAGATTATAAGACTATAAGCATTTTATTTAATCCCTAGAGATAAACAAATGGATTATTTTTTAAAACATAAATTCGTTCATTTTTTAATTTTATTTACATTAAAATTACTGGACAAAATAATGAGATTTTAGTTAAAAATTGAAGATGTATTTCGATCAAAAGAAGGGAGTTGGTGAAGACAGTATATTTAAAATTGTGAAATAACCAAATATTTTTATACATATTGAAATTAGGCATTTTTTATTTATTTTTAAACTGAATAGCCACATGCTTTAGCTTAAAAATAGTCGAGATTTGTTGCTTTTATTAACTTGATATTTTAAAAATATTTTGATTATTCATTTACTTCATGATTTTTTTTCTCCATTTACTTAATAACCTTAAAACGATTCAAAAAAATAAATAAAAAGTTTGGGATTTTATGACATCCTAACTGCTTAAGAAATTTTCACGCTTCTTGTTGACATTTTACAGAATTGTTGACAAAAATATCCAAAAGTGAACTTAGTAAAGACAGTTTCATTCACCATTCCAGGACATATCAGATAGTCTGTTCCTAGAATGAGATAAAAACCAAAACAACAGCCCGCTAATAGTGTTACTGTAAGATAGCCTATCTAATTTATCTTGTTTTTTTGGTCCAAAAAAAAATTATTAAAAAATATTCCATAAATAAAAAAAAATATATATATAGAATAATAATGATAGACACGCGAATTAGTTTTTATTTCTATTAAATAACACTTAAGATTAGTTTAAAAAAAACAAAATCAAATTAATAATAAATATTACAAATATTTTTAATTTAATTTCATGAATTTAGCACTCCACAAATATTTTATCATTAATATCACAATTTTAAAACATAATTATTTTGAATAAAAAAAAATCATAAAATTAGATTCGATAATTTATAAATGAAACCTCAATCAACACAATTAATTACGAACAGAAAATATTAATATGTAAGGGTTCTAATTTTCGTAATATTTTGTGATGAAAAGTATTATTATTAGGATTATTATCTTAAATATTAATTTGAACAATTAATCAAATTACAATAATATTTTATCTCTAAAGAAAACATTGGCCGGAAGTCAGGACTCTCGCTCATAGCTCATTATCTCAGGATATTAACATAATTAATTATTAATAAAAATATTATTGATGTTATCGATTATTAGTGTAATAGTATAAACAACAATCTCATAATATCTTATCTATTGTAGAGTTGTTAATCTATATTTCGGTGGGAGGGGGAGACAACAATTTAGTTAAACAGTTTAATCCTAGATTAATAGGAGAGGTAATGGAGGCGATAAGAGCGATTACAGACCGTAAACAGGGGAAGGAATGTTGTGGAAAGCGTAGAGGATTGTTACTGGGTCCAGAGAGAGCCGGCAATGCTTAGGAATGTTAAAAATGCACCAGGTGAAAGTGACAAGTGGGGCACAGTTGGTGGGGGGCGCGGTTTATGCAATCCCCCTCCGTCCGACAAATAGGCCACGGGACGTTGTAAACAAATAAACAGATAGGGATACAATAGCTTTGAAGATTATATATATATAAGCATATATAATCCACGAGATGGATAGATATACATATAATAAAAATACGGGTTTAAATTATCCATGAGAAGGACAACACATACCTTAATCTTATTCATCTTCTTCTTGGCGGGCAACTTGAAGAGGGAGGTGACAGCGGCAGCGATGATGGACGGCGACCAGAGCGACTTAGTCTCCATTCTCGCACTAGCGGGGTCGCTGAAGCACTGAACTGGATCCGCCATCCCCACCCCTTCACCCTTCGCTTCCCCCTCCACCGCGCTCCTCGCCCCCACCACCGCCTGGCCCCGCCCCCTAACGGCGTCCCATCCACCAACTATTCCAGGAAGCTCGTTTCTATTCTAAAAATAGATGCGACATTTCAAGTCGGTCTTTCCTATCGCGAGGGCCGGGAGGAGGAAAAAAAAGACTTTCTGGAAATAGGCGAGGCATCCCGAGGGTGTATTTATAGAGGATGCCATCATCCGCTGTTTGTACAAGAAGAGGAATGTCGGTCGGTCACCGGAGGAAGCACGAACTGGCAGCGTGTTTGTTTACGTTCCCCACGCCGCCGCGATAACGAGAATTACTTCGAGATATCGATATGTTTTTTATTGATACAGGCATTGTTTTTTAACAGCCAACGAGGAAAAAACACAGAAAAAATAAAATCAAAGAGTCATATTTCCTTCAACTGGCCAGCCTTCATTTATAATGCCATATAAATAAATTACGGTATTTCTTATTTAAGAAGACATGGCTTCTGGCGAAAACAAACATTGTAAGTGACAGTGATTATTGCTAGTTAACCTCCATTTTGTTAGAGAAGTAGAAAAATTCACATAATTATCATAACCACACAATAATAAGCATACAATGTACGCATGTTTGCTTCTTTTTTTACTTTGAAAAAATAACATAAAAATGAACAAAAAATAAAAGCAAAACTCGATATTTAAATATCATGTATTGATATAGATAGATAGTTAGGGAGGGTGACATTATTTAATAAATAGATACATATTTTTTTGAAAATGTATGACATTTATAATGATGTAGAGATGGTTGACCGTGATATAATATGATGAGTTGATCAGGAGGGAGAGCGGGAGAGGTGCAGTCAAATAAATACTAAATTATTGGACCGCCCCTCCCCCTATCAACTCCTTCTCGTATGACGTTTATATCTAAAAACTATTAGACTCGGTTCGTAACTTGAGAATCAACACTGAAAATATATCATTAAAAAAAGTGGTAAAAGCTGTAATCTTTCATCATGTATATACATATACACACACACATATATATATATATACAACTAGTAAAAATCGAAATTGCTAACGCCAGGCGAGAATCTAAGTGAAAACATTCAACAGCCAAAAAAGCCAGCTTTTTTGGTAGGTAACTCCTAACGGTGCATCGCAGCGTATTCCTTAAGAAACTAAAGAACGTTAAATTGTGCGTGAAATGAGTACCTAAAAGTAATAATTTGGTTAAGTGGTGTAGAGAAAAATTACGGACAACAAACGCTCTGATTTTTACAAAAATAGGTTCATATATATTTTCCTACATCTTTGAAATGAGTTCTCTATGAGAAAAAAACTCCTGAAATAAACATAAAGCCTTCGATTTTGCGTACATTGAGTAGTAATATTTTTAAAATAGGCCACTCACTCAGCTCGAAATCGGTAATCTCTTGAATAAAATTAAAACACTATTTGACACCTTAAAATTAAGTCAAAAGGTGGAAAATTATTGTTTTCAAAAGAATCATTGAGAACTTAATGATGTTATTTCTATTTAAAAATTTCCAATGCTACAGTAAAAATTTAAAAACTATTCTTTTCATTATCATTCCATGTTGATGAATCAGCTTTTTTTAAACTGGGTACCTAAGAAAACTATCACTGTTAAATTTAGCAACGTTATTAGTTTTAAATAAAACACGTAGATTTTTGCGAGTAACATCATTATTAGTCACGAGTTATAAACTTGGCTATTTGTTTTTCTATACATTTTTAATTCCCAGACTGAGGTTTGCGACTGAGAGAATATTGTGCAAAACCACATTTCGACGTCAATGTGCTAATCATCGTTTTTAAAAATAATTTTAAGTAATCTGAACTAAAATATGCTTTGATTAAGTTTTTAACTTTCTCAAATTTGAAAATTTAACAATCTATGCCTAGTTATAATATAAAAAAGGAGGTTAGGTGATAAAGGATCTAGGATGAAGTCATTTTAAGATTTTTATTGTTGCCGCCGTTTAAATCCAAGCATATGGGTCATATACGGGATATATGACCTCCAGGCTGAAGACCCCCAAAATGGTAAAATATAACCACGTTTTATAGAAAAAGATATTAAAAACTATCTCTTAATGTATTATTGTTCCTGTAATTACATGTAATAGGACTTCAAGAATCACTTAATCACATGTCATATAGGTAGTTAGTTTCTTTATTTTTTTTTTCAAATTAATTATTGTTATATATATATATATATATATATATATATATATATATATGTGAAAAAAAAAGCTTTCGGTATGAAGCCCCCCCTCCCCACAAAAAAAAAATTAAATCCTGGATCCGCTAGTGATTATAGGGGCATGTTACCCTGAATGTTATACTGAAGGTGTTCAAGTACTTCAACACCTTCATTATAAAATTAAAAAAATATTGGATTTAAGTAATTAAAGATTGCTCCATAGTTAACAAGAGAAAATTTACTTTAAACTAAACTAGAGTTTGTCACTCTTAAGACTATTTAAAGAGGACTTTAAAGTTCAGTATTTAAAAAACTGATCAATTATTCGACAAGCTTGATAAAAACATTTGACTACAGTGGTACAGGCTCCTTTTTATCAAATTATTAATATCCTTCTATAACTTCGTAAATAACTTCCTCTTATTGTAACCTAAAAGTTTTTTTATTTAGGAAAATTCTCGGAATTGGGGAGTTTTCAATCTCTACTATGTATATATTTACATATACATTGATTTTTGGTATATATAAAATCAAAATTTGGAGAAGAGGAAGAAATAAGAAATTCAGACCTGAAATTAACAATGCTAATATCATTCTGACATCCCTTCATTTTTTGCAAAGGGGTTATAGAAGACAGTGTACTTTTAAAAACATGACAGCCCGACATAGTCTGGAACTTAATTTTTACAAATGCAACATTCTTTATATAATAACTTTGTCTATTTAATTAGGTATTAAAAATTCGTAAATATTAAACCATTTGCTTTCCACCTGAATCGTAAGATAATTTGATCACAAAATCGAGAAAAAATGTTGCCTTCAAAAATATTGAGGCACTTCCCGGGACGTACAACCCCAAATTGTCAAAATAAAAAGGTTATATAGACTCAAATTTTTTGTAGACCACTTTTTTTTATCGATTTCGCGATTAAATTATATTACAGTTACGCAATGGAATTAATCCTCAACAAATAATAATAATTTAACTTTTATTTTAATAATTCCTCATACCAGACTGAAAAGACAAGAAACCGCTCGACGTTTCCCATTATTTCAGCACTTACTAGACAAACGCTCTAAACTTAACTACAATTAATTACAAAAGACTCATATATATGACTATAGTAAGGCCTATTTGGATTTACGGAGTGAGCTATGGGGCTCCACTAAACCATCGAATTCCTCTCGTATCCAATCCTTACAATCCAAAAGCCTTCGTAAAATCCTCAATGCTCCCTACTTTGACACAAATAAAATAATCCATAATGACCTTAATGTACCATATGTTTCCGATTTAGCTCAATCCAGGTACCTATCCTTCCATAATAAACTTCATAACCATCCAAACGCTCTCGTTTCTAACCTTGCTTCCTCTTCGATTCTTTATATGAAAAGAACATGACCCCGTGATCTCCTAATAAAGACATATTATTAGAGTGCTACCATTGGGTAGTTCCCCAGCAAGTGTTTTCACTTCATTATATCCAAATGTTCAAATTTATTAAATGTATTTCTTTGATGCAGTTGTAAATATCATTAAGAAATAAAAAAAATATATATATAATAATTAGTTTGTTAACTTGCCAATTAGTGAATCATGTATTGACACTTCTCATAACTCAGGGGACAAAGGTATCCCTAGATAGCCATGCGAGATATCTCTGATAGCTTAGAAGTATTTATCTAAAAGGCACTGAGTGGACACAACAAGAGCCATTGTCAAGACTTAGGGGACAATAACAGATTTCAGCAAAAGGTCTCATTCACACGGACCTCATATCAGCACTAAAGGATAAGATATCGATTCTCAATAGTTAATTGCGCCCAGGATCCTTAGACTACCCAGAATTCCTTCCTTAGACCCTTATACTATTGTTGCCCATGTTGCCCGGCAACCAGATAACCTTATGAGAGATTAAAAAAAAAGTACGAGTTCGCGTCCCGGTACCGGAGGGGATTTTAAATTATCCGCCCTCACCCCCGTATTGCCTAAAAGGCCAGGCATGAAAGAATATAAAAAAAACACACATAAAAACAAATAACTTAGAAGTTTGGTATTTTTCAAGTAGAATGCTAACTTGTTGACTCCCCAGGTAGGAGTCAGTTAAGGTAATGCAGGTAAGTCCATTTAACATGGCCGTTCGGTGTAGTTCAAAGTTTAACATAAGTGGGGTGAGTGCAATAAGTACACCCCCGCCTTCTTAAAACGTTTAGGTTAAGATATATATATCTTAACCTTTGGGTCTTCACAGAGGAAGAAGTCAACTTATATTGGTTCCGCCTTTACTACCTGTGAAAAACATGGCCTACCTTAACTGGTTCTGGAAAAAAATAGATTCCCAGAAGTCCATTTCTGTTTTTAACCATCACCTCAATGACAAAGCTTCATGCGTAAAAATTGTTTTGTTTGTTATCTTACGGATATAATTGATCGTAAGGTGTGCGGTTAATAGATATAGTAGAGTTTTATTATATTTATCAACGTTTCGATCTACATTGTAGGTCTCCATCGAGTTAAAAATATACAAACAATAAATATTAAATAGTTCACCGTTCAAATAAATAAAATATCAGTCTATGTTTGGCTTTCATTATTACTCTAAAAGTACAATTCCCTTCAGATCTCTCAGACAATGACACTCTTTCAATTTATTCATATTGCACTAACACCGTTAAAAAAATAAAATTTAAAGTAAATTGTCAATTATGTTTTGTAAGGTTATACATTATCATGGGATACGTAATAACTGTTACCTGCTATAATAGATCCGAAACTGTTATGTGGTAACCTGTACTGATTTTATACCAACTAATATCTTATTTAATTTTACCTTGTAGCAATTAATATTTATTCTTTGCATCTCTTTTTCTATATCCCTGAAGAGGACATACAAAGTAAGTCGAAACGTTGGAAAACGTAATAAAACACTACTATAATACATAGTTCATATTACTAAACTCTTGGAATCCACACAGAAATCTTGTATAGCCAGCCACATATACATAAATATCAGAACAATAAATAAGATAGAATTTCAACGATGGAAATTATTTAGGAATTTGATACTAATCTTTTAATAATAATCTGACAGGAATCTTTTGTATATAAATAAATCATACAAGAATAGTTAATTAAGAGCAAGAGTAGATATCTAAAATAATTTGGAACGTAGTATCCTTATCAGCTTCAAGACTCAATATTGTCCTTGTGGCAATCAACTGCATAAAATTTCGTGGCGAAGGGTAAACATATGATGAAACCAACTCCTTCGCATCGGCCCATTTCAAAAAACTCACATGTAATTAGAATTTACCGTAAATTTGAATAGTTTATATATTTACAACTCAAACAATAATATGTACCTGTTGGCCAGAACACCTTTAAAGCACAAAATATGTAAAAATCACAAAACAAATACTTGGAATATTCTTAATTAGTCTTTATTATTAAATTAGGCGTAATTAATAAAAAAATATATCTATCCATTACAAAAATATAAATTTGCAGCCTTAATAAGTTTGGCAACAGAAAAATATTAAATCTAACCAGAGGGGAGAGAGTTGAGGGGCGAGGATATTGTTTCGCCCTCCCCTCCAAAATAATTTAATAGGCAGAAAAAAAAAATTAAAATCAATAAAAAATAAGCTACGAGAACGAATAACATGTGTAAACTTAAATCGATTAAGAAAGTCGACTAATTGGCTATAACCATTTTAATAATACTTAAATCTCATCTTTATTTAAATAGTTATATTAATATATTATTATTATATTATATTAATATATACATAAACATATCCAACCGATTTAATAAATCAATCACGCCTCAATTTTCGCCTGATATTGTTATCACATTTTTCGTGACAAACCTAAAGTGGGACAGAACGTATTTTTATTTGAGATTGAAAACGTTACTTTTAAAATTGCTAATTAATCAAGACTTAAAAATAATATTTATATTTGCCTCTATGAGATTAGAATAAGCTTTGAACAAAATGAAGATAAAAAATCAGAAGGGTCTTAAAAAAAAAATTATAATTAAATTTAAATTTATTATTAAAATTGTACAGGAACACTAAATTAGTACTCTGATCCCAGATCGCCCTGGTTATAGTGCGAATATTTTCCTCTGAAATATTTCTATATATCTTTCTAGGTAGGTGTTTAATGTTCAGGTTTCCAGGCTGTGTATCAGAATTGACCTTAGCTTTGAGATTTCAATAACTTAAAATGTATTTCATGTAAAACTCAACTTGGATTTAATGACTAGGATAATGTGATATATATTGATCCTCGCCACAAATTAACTATGCATTTGTAATTTCCTCAATCTTCATCCTCAATGTGTCATTTTCTCAATTGTCTCTGAGAAGTGCTGATTATCCTGTTTCCTGAACGATTAGCATCCATGTTGGTTCAAATATCTAAACACCTTTGAGGAAACCAAAGGCGCTAAAGAAGCTATAGCCAGCAATGTGCCTAAACAATACTCGAGCAGTCGAGAGCGGTCCGTTCGCTTACAGGATACAGAACAAGCCAAACAGCTCTCAGAGACCGAGTAACTAAATCCAAAGTCGATAAATAAATAAATAAAAATAAAAAAAAAAATAAAAAAAAAAAAAAAAAAAAAAAAAAAATCGAGTCCAGAATTGATGAGATTCTTAAATTTCTCGATAAAATAATAGAACTGCCATTGAAATTATAACTCTGACATGGCGAGGAATAGCCAAATAGTAATTTTCATGACAAACAGCAAATGAAACTGATGTTAGAAATCATAATTTGTAATTGACAACTTGTTTATCGACGTCTAAAGATAAACATGAATGAATCACAAAGTGGAATGTGGAAAGGGAATTCTGTTTTCAAAAATACTGTTTGTATTTCATCCCCTGAGCCGCGGCGCTAATGGCGACCGCCCTACCTGTCTTAGCGCCGGCTACCTCAATGGCCAAAGGTATGCTACTACTGACAACTGAATGACGTGAGATGTACTACCTAACTTTTTACTACCTGAGGCCCATTCATCGGGCCCGGAACGTTCTAGACCTTCAGGCCCTTTGTCTCCATCATGGCCTAATAGTCAGAGCGTAGGCATCCAACTCTCTGTCAACTCAATAGCCGATAACTTTGCTGCAGTACTTTAGTGGATACACATAAGTTTAAATCAGAAATTTTGTATTTAATAATTTAAGAAATTTGGAAAAATAATAAATTATAAAATAGAAAAAACAACTAAGTATACTTTAGACCAGACGATATAAGTGAAAACATTAACTATGCGAGATTAATAATATTTTTTGTTTGTTTATATAATGGAATTTACAACAGTATACAAATACAACCAGCAAATATGCACAAACTAGAAATAATGACACAGGCTTGAAGAGATACTACCTCACAATATGAAATATGAATTATAAATAATAGCTCATTATAAAGAGGTTGAAATGCTTAACATTTCCCTCGCTTACAGTATGCAGATCCGATTTTTAGTATGTGAAATATTTTAATCCATATCTTCAACTAACTTCGTTATCATTTGGCTTTCAAAACTATTTTTTACTTTTCTCCTCTCTTAAGACATTTAATTCTAACGACGTCGCGTTTAAAGACAATTTTGAATTATAGCTTATTACAGAGAGGATGAAATGCTGAACCATTTCCTAGCTTACAGTATTCACTAATTCAAAAATCAAATATATTCTCAGCCTAAGTACTTTATGAATATCAACAATAAAAAAATAAAAAAAAGATTATTCCTGGCCATAATTATAAAAAACAATACATACACAATGTGTCTCGTAAGTAGGGCGAAATATTTATAGGAGGGACAGCAGATATCAACAGCTACAAAAATGTTTATAATTTAATAATGGGCCGATTTTTAGTAGAAAAGTAAGAAATCCAACTTTTGTGTTTTTTTAAATAACTCATGTTTTTTTTTGGCTAGGATGTGATAACTAAAGAAATATTTAATTTAAGTAATTAAAGATTGCCTCATCGGAAACTAGGTAAAATTGTGTTTAAATAAAAAGAGAGTTTATGACTGATAAAACCGTTTAAAGAGGACTTTTGAGAGGCTAAACTATGCTAAGTACTGTTTTAAAAAAAACAACCTCCAATTATACTACTGATTACACTTTTACAAAAATTTCCTACTTTAATAAGTTTTAAATCTATATAATAACAAGTTAAAGTTTATTTGAAGAAAAAAACTTGAAATTCGCCTCAAATTGAGTAAAAACATCTGATTTTTTATCCAATCAAGTACCCCATAGTCATCTGCAAAAATGACTATAATTAATTGTTGCAAAGCTTTATTATTTTTAACATTTTTTTTCTCTCAATGTGGCCCCCGGGCCAAAAAGTATAAAAAAAAATCAGATGCGGTGCGTCACACATTTTTCACTTACTCTTCTTACCAGAAATAAGTATTTCCAGACAATCGGGAAGAGAAAGTAAAAATTATAGAAGCTATATTTCATTATCGGTATTTTTATTGGTATAAATACCCTAATATATACACATATTTTATTATTTATATCGCTCCAATCTACACAATTGTATATTAAATAATACCGATAATAGCATTTATGAAAACCGCATTTGTATATTTATAGAATATTAAGCTCATGTTACGTATGGAAGCGTGTTCTAATCTTTCTAATATTATTTCTCCTTTAGTTAGTTATCAAATTCTTCCATATTGTATATTTAACTATCTTTTATATTAGAGATTAATACGAAATAGTTAATTATTTCAAATAAAAAAAATTAAAGATACTTTAGAGGAAGCTGATATTGAAAATTAGCCATTCAACCCGGCTAGAAAACATCAATCAGAATAAAAACTACATTTTATTTAAAACTGTTTTATTTTACTCTGATATGACGAATTTAATCAAAATCGTTATAGCCGTTTTCGAGAAAATTGTAAACATTTGTTTAGGCCATGATATGCCACTTACGGTTAGCCGATTTTAACGAAAAAGTTGCTGTAACATCCTTGGCATATGAAAACGTTAAATATGAAATTTCATTTTCGTACGACTTTTCATTTTTGAGCTAGACTGTTAACACACACAGAGACTATTTTGCGGGACACTTGGTTATTTGGACTCAGGGGACTCAAAACGTGTATTTCCGTTGAAAATTAATATTAGAAAATACTTTCCTTAACTATACGTTTCATATATAGCTAAGTGAAAGTAATATAATGAAAAACAAACAGTACATCGCCAATGATCCTATAGGGTAGATACCGTGAACAAATATTTATTTATATTATAATTAATTATCTAATAATTAAGTAATATACTAACAATGTAACTAAGTTATTACCAAGACGACAGCCCTCCCCCCTCCTCCCCTCCACTTCCAGACAGGAGTACTATCGCGGAGGCAGACAGATAGGCCGGAAGGGCGGAAATCGATCGCTGGTAGGCCTCGCTGTGGGGGCAGTGACCTCGCCTCATCCACAGGCGCACTTGGAAGAGGGCGAGGTTCCACGAGGCGCAGTCGGCTTCGTTAGGTCGGCCCTTCATTGAGGTTAAGGTTAGTCGAGTGTAGTAGGGTCTCCTATACTGACTAGAGGGAAATCTGAGCCACAGTTTTAGCTTTAGTCTTTTAAAGGCTCATTTACAGTTTTCAGACCAAAATCATGGAAATACTGATATTAATCAAAAACCGTGTATAAGCGTTTGATTAAGCACCATAGGCGCAGACTTTCCATTTTGCTTGTGGTAGGACATAAACAAAAAATATATAAGCTGTAGTTCATGTTATGTCTACAAATTCAAAATAATTATTCTGAAACGAACAAATATAATATTGGAATTTTTTTTTTTTTTTAATTTTTATTATTGAAAATTACAACTGTATAATGATAAATATAACTCGTAAATATGAAATAAGTAACTTGACATGTACAACATTAAGAGAAACTACCCATTGGTACCACTCCAATTATATTTCTATATTTGAAGGTCACGAGGCCATCTTCTTTTCAGACGCCTCGGAGGGTTATCAGGAATAGAAGAGGAAGCAAGGTTGGAAACAAGAGGGTTCGGATGGTTCAGAAGTTTATTATGGAAGGATAGGTATCTGGATTGAGCTAAATCCGAAAAATGTGGTACATTAAGGTCGTTATGGATGATTTTATTTGTGACAAAGTAGGGAGCATTGAGGATTTTACTAAGGATTTTGGATTGTAGGGATTGGAGAACAAATATAATATTGGAAATTTAAAAATTGATTTGACTAAGGAGGTGGTCCTAAAAAAAAAACAGTAAAATATAAAAAAACTGTTATTTTAAAAACTGATAATCAGACAGCCAGTCACAGTACTGGCTTCAGCAGAGCCAGACGGATTGCCTCTACAACGTAGGTCGAAACGTTGGATAATGCAACAAATATACTATTACATAATAAAGTATTTTTTTTAATACTGCACCCACGACTAACTTCTTCTGAGATATTTTATTTGAAGTTTGGCTAGAAATAAAATAATTTTTTTGCTCACTATTTTAGTATTTTTATGAACGCCACCCCGAACCATCTCCTTACTCAATAATATATACAACGGCCAACCATCAAGAATTCAATAAACATAAATTTATATGTATAGGTTTAGACGGTTATATTTTTTTTTTTTTTGATAAACACGAAAATATTTGATCGAAACCATTGGATATATTACAATTTGTATACATTAAACAACGAAGGGAGGGAGACAACCATTTTTCAGCTAAAAATGAATAGATAATGTAAAAAACTGAAAAATACATTTAGTTTTATATATCAGTTTGTACAACCACCAAATAAAAATAAAACGTTTTTGCAGTCTGACTATGTAAAAATGCCTATAATAACATTCTTTATAAAATATATTTACACTCGTACTTATTAAATATATTTTTTCCATCTTCATAGCATAGAATATAAAAATAAATCACATGAAAATGGAGATATCCAGATGAAAGGTGAATGAATCATAAAATCCAAGGACATGTTTCTATAATTCCAAAATATGAATGAAAATTTAAATAATATTAATATTTAGGTCGTGATAAAATAGTTATGTACCTACTTAAAAGGCCTTAGCTAGTCGTTTTTTCTTAATCGATTTTAGTTCACATATTTTATTTATTCATGTAGCTTATTTGTTATATATTTTAATTTTTTTTTTTTACTTCAAATAATTGGGAGAAGGGAAAACGATATTCTCGGGGTGGGGGCATTCGCTAATGTCTAGAACTGTTATGGTCGGGAATTCGCAGTAAATTTTGCAGAAGTCTGAAAAGATATTTTGAATTTTTAACTAATATCTTTCTTACATTTAAACTAGGATCTAGCTAATTTTGAAAATTAAAAGAGAGAAGAAGTTTCTTATAATTAAGAACCTTTAGAAAGTGGTAAATAATGGAACTGTTCTACGATAATGAAAATAATTATTAAATATTAGGGTAATAAGAATAATTATTACATTATTACATTATATAGTTGTACTGTATTTTTATTATCTTAAAATAATAATATCGTGTTTAAAACATTATACGGTTTTACATTTGTTAATCAATTTTCTTTTACAGTTGACTTGGCCTGGGCGCATCCATTCGCCTGCCGCGAGCAAACAATATTTTTTCTTTCTTTTTTTTTTTTACTTATTGTTGTTTACGATCATCTTTACGTATAAGTTAATCCTGGGCCTTGGGCACTATCAGATACGGAAACCAAGTCTAGACTTCCTACCGAAGGTTGTCTGCCTTACGTTGAGGTAAACAATTAAACAATACAACAAAGATACAATGATACTTTATGTAGGTTCATGAAAGAAATTAATTATTAGAAATATCAGTTTCTTTTCATCGACCATGAAATTGATTCATTACTTATCTTCATCACAAAATCATCGATTAAAAAATAGAAATACAATTACCATAGATGCATTATTCAAAAAGTATTTTATTCATTAAACATTACTTCCTAGACTTTGTTAGATATTAATTATTTCTCATACGAATTATATATAGATTTTTTTTTAATACAGTAGAGCGAATTCAAGAATACAATAAGGAAACTAGTTACATAGAGGATTTACAAGGTAATGAAATCTATTATGTAACTTCTAAACATATCCAACTATTTGCAGTAAAAAAAAAAAAAAAACGCTGCAAATTATTTCACAATGGTTTATTATTTCCAAACAATTATACATCTAAAGTAATATTACCTTCCCAGTCATAAATAAAAATAAATAAAAGGTGATTCCAATTATTGGACTAAACTTTTTTTTAATCATTAGAAATATGCTAAAAAAAGAGCATTACTTCTAATACATTTATAATACATAAAGAGTAATACATTTATATTTTAAAACCAAAACAAAAGATATATATATAACCTTAGCAGCAGAATATCTAAAAAAAAAACTAGAGACCATATCTTTGCTCCTAATTGCCAGATTTTAACAAATGTTTTTTAGGAAATTCCGTCAACATTTAAAAAACCATAAGAGAAAGTGGTAGACAGAATAAAATTCGACACTACATTATTTTTTTACAAATATCTACCTTTTATCCAATTTTGAGCCAAATCGAACGAACCATTTCTGGAATATTGGCATATCTAAAAAAAAATACGTTGCGCGTGCCTAACAGGAAGTGCTGAATGGAATTTGATAAAATTGATATGGGACCATCTAGACACCAATCCGCATAATCCCTGAAAATTTCATGAAGATCGGATGAACGGTACTAGGAGATATGCCCCTCACATCGATTTGACTACAGACCAAATTTGATTCTTGATGTGTGGAACGTAAAACACGAGTGGAAATTTTCGATTCTGAGCACAAAATTTTTTTTAAACTGTCGCACGAACCTTCACCTTCGGTAGTAAGGAAGCAAAAAATATTTTAAAATCGCGATATCTATACTAATAGGGCTTTGAATTCGATGAAACTTCTTTCATTTTTTAGGAAATTTGAATACCTTTGTGTTAACGCCGCATACTTGCAGATCTATATTTTTTTCTCTCACCATATTTACCCTTTTAAATGTTAATGAAGAAAATGTTTATTTTATTTTTTGTAAAAGTTTGAGGGACAATTGTTCCTAAAATGTATTCAAGTTTATATTATAGTTTAGTTTGGCTTCGTTTGCGATGTATTATCGCGTGGTATATACACACCAGCCCGGCAGTAATACCCTGTCTTAAGGATTAAGACTTCAAAATACGGCCGGGGCAGTCTGGAGCTGGCCTTCGTTATGGGCCCACGTAGTGGACAATTTCTCTCACCTTCTCACCAGCCGCTCCAGTTAACTAAACCCCACCGGCCTAGTATCAGTGCCCTGTTGTTTTTTCGGAAGTCTGGAGATTGCTCTTGTCGACATTAGACCCATGTAGTGGAAGTCTACCCCCACCAATCTCACCAAGCTCCAGGCCGTCTGATCTCGCAACATCTCACCTAGCGCCATTTTCGAGGATCAGCTGTAGTAATCGATACATATCGATACGACCCCACCATCGATTACTCGGCAGCTGGAGATCGGAAGGTAACAGGTTGGAGGCAGAACCTCCAACTTGGCTTGTTGTGTTTATTATTCTCACCAGGACATTTGAACATTTAGTTAACTGGTTTCTTCCCTAAATTTGTTTCATTCTTTTGGAAAATTCTCTTGTTTTATTTACAATTTTAGAAATTGATTTTTTTCTTTATTGATAATGGTTAATTTCTTTTATTTTCTCTGGATGTTGTATTTGTGTTTTACTTTTCTCGTAGCTTTTAAGTATTGTTTATCTCAACTTTTATATAAATTTAAATCTCTTTTTCTTTCTCAATAAATTGTAAACATTCAAAAGGGGATTTTTTTTATTTTCCATTTTTTTAATTTTATTAAAATATCTCTATTTTTTTAAATATTTTCTTGTGCATGTATTTGTTTTTTCTCTAATGTTTTATAGGTCTCATTATTCAGTAATTTTTTTTCTCCTTCTTTCCCAACGTTTTTTAATTTTTCTCGAATTTTCCCACCATTGAGGAAACGCACCGGGGAAAGATCTGTACTTCGATTTTGAAGTATCCCTGGCCCCAACACTTTGAAACATCTTATCACAATATCGATAAAAAAGTGTATACTTTTTGAGTTATTCGGAATTTAATTTTACCATCTCTCGTAACATTTTTTCCAGCTTCTTTTCGTTGAAGTATGTTATATAGATAAATTTAAAGGGCGTCGAGAAAATGGCTTTGGCGAAGTTTGATTAAAATCGCTACATTCATTTAGGCGCTACAGTTTGAAAGTAATCGGCGGAGAGTAATGTCGATGAAGGATCATCCTTGGGTGACCTCTGATTTAAAATCCAAATTTGAAAAAAATCGGTCCAGTAGTATCGGAGAAAATGCGCGAACGGTGGACAGACAAATTTTTTTATTCCTTTTTCGAATTCTACGTATCGTGAAACGTTAAACCTC